GAGCTTGGCTGTTTTTCATTTCTGACATCTCTTTGTTGGAAATAGTTTGTTGACATATGAAACTGAAACAAAGAATGTAACAAACCTTTTAATGCAAGTGAACAAATGCTTACTTTTGTGTACCTTATAAGTGATTTATCTGTGTGATGTGTGTTTCTGAATAGTTGAGTTTGTTTGCTGTGTGTGTGTGTGTGTGTGAGTGGTTGGGTGGGTGCGTTGATACCTTGGATGCGCTTGTGGTTGTGTTATAGTGTGTGTGGGTTTGTGACTTTAGTTTTTTTGTGCAACTGGCGTGGTTAGATTCCCGGTTGTACGTGACAATTGAGTAGGGTCGCCTCTCCAATCTCGTGGGTTTTCGCCGGGTCCCCGGTGTTCTCCTACTGCTAAAGACCTCTACGCGCAAGCGAATTATTGAAATAAAATTGAACCATGTGTTATTCCCAAAATGACATAGTTTGTGTCGAGTGGACGTTACCCCCCCCCCCCCTCTCTCTCTCTCCTTTTTGTGCTATTATTGTAATTGGGTCTTGTTAAACGTTCTTTAAAGATACATTATGTCTAGCAGTTCTCACTATAATAGTTAAAAACTAGATATTGTAAAAGGAATTTGCCGAAAATTTCAGTCAAATTGATCCACTCTGAACCGAGATTTTAGCAATAGAATTTTCGGCCTAGTCTCGATCATCATTACTAAAATAAGTACGATATAAAACATAGTCTCGATTATCTATTTCATGATTTAATATGATTAAATTTTGAATGGAAGTCGAACAGGAAATCGGAACTTAATCCAACGGACATCTGGGAGGCTAGCGATGCCATCGAGAGTTGATTATGGTCTGGATAAGTTAATTAATGTCTAATTAATTTAGATAACATTTCAGGCCCAAAGAAACACCAGGAATAGGCAGATTAATGTATGTTTAACATTTCTAAAATTTATTTGTATCTTATAGTTTATTCATTTTGAATTAATAAAATAGAACTAATTATGATACGTGTCATTATTTTACATGTACACAATTTAGAGAGACTGTATAAATATTTTACACAAAAATTACGGTGAATGTGAATTTGTTGCTTTCGGGACACAATGTAAGGGCAATTTGTTTGAAATCAATGAAAAATATCCATTTCTATAAACACGGAATGCATCATAATGGCGTATACCATGCACTGAATCCTTCCTTCTAGGGGAGTTGGGTGGTCAAGTGGCTTGGTTTACATTCCCCGCTTCAACGTGATAAGCAGTAGTATAGCCCGTCCAAGCACATGGGTTTTCTCCGGGTCCTCCCACTGCTAAAGACCCATACGCACAAGGGAATTATTGAAATAAAACTGAACCATATGTAAGTCCCGAAATGGTCCAGTTTGTATTGAGTGGACGTTAAACCCCATCTCTCTCTCTCTCTCTCTCTCTCTCTCTTCCTCCAGATGAATAAGTGTTGGGGTCAAGGATTAAGTACTACATGTAGCTACCTTTCTAGAATATCACATTTTATGGGTATTCTCAATGATTAGGCTTATCAAAGTTTATAACAACCTAAGTTTAAAATTTAGTCAGCTAAATCAAATCAATGTAATAAACAGTGTCTATCGCGCGACCTTTTGCTTCTGGTATCATCATTATTTCTTTCATCATCATAATTTCTGATGTCCGATGAATGCAGCTGGAACAATCTGATTGATCGGAATATACGGGGGGGGGGGGGGCATTTCATACTCCCCACCCCCTTCCTACTGCAAGTGTTGACCATATAGTCTAAACTAAATAGGTCGTTGGGAAGGAGCTGCTTTTTTTTTTAATGTTGCCAATTTCAGCTATAGGAATCACTTTCAAACTACATTATTGTGAAAGATGAGTCTCGAATAGGAATGTCAGTCCAAAATAGTTCAGTGTCGTTTAATATTTACAAAGATATGTGGAATTGAAATTTCATCGATCTATGCTGCTCGCTATGCAATAAGCCTGCCGCCAATTTGTTGTCCACAAGTCCGACTGAATCTAAGTCCAATCCGATTAAAACACAGATCCTATTTCGTTTCGTTTTTATAGTTAAAAACTAGGATCTGGAAGAGTTGTTATCATTGACGTGTTCTAGGATCTGGAAGAGTTGTTTTCATTGACGTGTTTTGAATGATGTGACCTATTAGCCAATGAAACGGTCTGTTACGGCGAGCTTTAGGTGTGTTTTGCACAGAATTGTGGGTAACCCACTAGTAACATCAATGCTGATTGGTTAATCAAATGTCTGACGTCATAGGGTCAAAAGCCGCTCGTGTGACCTCTGACGCGACCTATCGCTACAACCGGTCAGAGCTTCATGTAGTGTAGGCCATCGAAAGTATAAACCAAGTCGAGACAATATCTAGCGTTGGTATTTTTATTTTGTTTCCTTAATTAGATGTTAAATAATCAATCCGAGTACATATTAAGAGTGTGTCCGCCAGAGCACCATGCAGGGGGTGACGAACCTTGGGTCAGGGATTTGGACCAATTTTTTTCTGTCAGATGGGTTAGTACCCAGATACACCCCCTCAAAATAATATTAGATTGACATCGAAAATTGGAAAAAATATATTTTAATACAAAAATAAGCAAAAAATAGGAAATTTTTGACCCAAATTTGGATGATCTGCTATTCGGACAATAATTGATTTGGACAGACAGAATTTTGGACATTGGTAGGACCACTCGGGTGCCTCCTACACACAGTGTTTTAAGTTTCTACTGCTAATGAATACCTTGGTACTGGCCGGATACCCAACACTCTCTGAAAATTATATCAATAAAAACCAAAGTTTGAGGTGCTATAGCTCACCCTTTGCAGGGACTAGGACAATATTTAAATGTTACCCACAACTAGCAACCTTCCTACTATATAAACAAAATAAAAAATAAAATTTAATGATTGCAACAGGCAAAATAAAAACAGGAGAAGTAAATTAAAAACACCAAAAATTGGGATAAAATGTTGCGTTTGTTAATACCCCAAACAAAATATATTATATGTATGGACATCGTTACAAATTAATATATTCCATTTAGTCGTTAGCAAGGGTGATTTAGACATGAAAGAAACAAAGTAAAATAAGATTTAGGGTTCACTGGATACAAAATAGGTCATTATGAGACTAACATTATGGTGATGCATATCTAGGGACATCTTTACAAAGATAAAATATTCCATTCATTCGTTAGCAAGGATGATTTTGACTTAACAGAGAGAAATCGGGTTAAGGTCCACTCAACACAAACTAGATCATTTTGGGACAAACATATGGTACAATTTTTACTTTAATAATTCGCTTGAGCGAACTGAGAAAATCCATGAGGTTGGACAAACAACACTGCACCATGTCACCTACAAGCTGTCACACCACTCAACTCAATGACAGCCCTTGTGATCTAAAGCCTATGTGTTAGACCAGGGACAAGTTTCATGCAATAATTTATACAGAATAAATCATCTTATATGAATATGACATGATAATGAAATGTGAAATATGATACACGATTAGGGGTATGCATATCAGGGCCGGCGGAAGCAATTCTTGATTGGGGGGGGGGGGGGCTTCCATCCTAGGTCCTTATAGGCGTGGGTCCAGGGGCCGCAATAACCTGGAGAAAAGAGTACTTGCGGCCAAATTATTGGGGGGGGGGGGGCCCTCCACCTGCATATTTCATTTCTCGGGTAAAAGATCACTACGCTGTCAATAGCTGCGGAAGGTTCACAGCAGCATCTTCAGTACATTCTCGTGGCAGGAAATATTCCGTGGAGAACAGGACAACCGAACGACGATAGTTCTTGAGTGGTAGAGAACTACGCCGCGATCACAAACAGTCGCCTGTGGCTTGAAGATTTGAAGTGTTTCTGACGGAATGTACGTGTTCTCGTTTGTACCAGGTTTTAAGGACGAGGGGATTGTATGATCCAGTGACATTAAGCCGTAGTTACACGACCAGCAAAATGATTACACAATAATGGAATCGGTGGGTTCGCATGCCCAGACACCAGCTGAGTGTCATCTTTTCTCCCAGTGTTCCTTGTGCCAAATGGGTTATTTTGGTAAAACATATTTTAGGAATCAGACTCGCCTATTCCCATCTGTATTTAGGAGCCGATCGTTGTATAAAAACATTTGGAAGTTTTCATGGAGAGGCATTGACAATCAAGAGGCTACCATACATTCCATATTGAAATCCCTGAGGAAGAAGAGGACATAGGCCAAAAACGGTACTACAAAACAAAACACTACTCTGGGTACAAAAACTTGAAGATCAGAGAGCATTTACACTCCAACATAGGAATCCATGTAAGTGAGCACTTACGAAGGTATATGTAGGAGGTAGGCGCATGTGGTCAACATTATCCTGGAGTGCCATAAATCTTGTTGTGATCTATGCCATCTTGCCCTTCAGAAATTTCAATACCAGATATCAAATGCCCCTACATGAACACTTCAAAACGTTTCTTCTTATGGTTCTTTTTTACACAAGCAGCGGCTTTGGTTAACTTGTGCCGATATAAAAGCTTGCCATGTCAGCCCATGCATTTATGCACTTACGTGCTACTAACTACTGAATACAGATGAGAATAATCGTTTCCTGATCCTGAAAAATTTTACACCAGTTACGCCCCTTCCCTACGTTAAACGCGAAAGTCCCATTTTGTCAAAAAAAAAACCTTCATGTTTTTCAACCAAGATAGTATATTTGGCACGCGGGAACGTTCAAGTAACAAAATATAGTAGGCTACTAATGTTGATAATCAACAGTCATTTGAATTCTTCAAGGCAGTTAGTTTCAGTAACCCAGAATCTCCTAGTCTTCAAAGTCTGGGACCGTTGTCAATATTTGACAAAAAGTTCCATTGTCCTTGTGTAATCGGGAGTTTGGTTTTTTTTTTATGTAGTTGATTATCCAGATTATCCAATTTTTTGCCATAACCTGGGTTTTCTGTGGGGTAATCATGTTAAATAAAAAGATATACATGTAATAATAATTTAGAGAGTTTAATTCCCAACTAAAGAAATAATATCTTCAGTACATCATAAAGCATAGGTTATTTACATTCATTCAGTCACAAAATAAAGGGGAAAAGAAAAACAAGAAATTATATATATATATACAGACCAGCCAGGTAAACTTTTATCTAGTGCCTTTTAAAACAAGCTAATTTGGGGCAAATTGATCTTATATTGAACAATTGACACAAGTTTTTTCAGAAACATGGACATATCTGAATATGCAGCTCTTATTGCCAGTATTAAAGGCCAGTTGTTGTTCATTGGCTATTTCACAAAACGATGGCTTCTCTGACTGGAGTTCAATCTTATTTCAGAACTGATGTAAGTTTAGGACCAATTTCATATTCTGATCTTACCATAAAACCGATGTGACACCACACTTTGTAATTAAATGTCAAACATAATAGATAAATGTTTTGGTCATGTTTATATCATAAATAATTATTAAAACCTGTCAACAATTTGCCTTCAATCAACCTACTTTAATATTTAACAAATGAATTACCCAACAACTAACAACACAATATATAAAGAACAATAATAAGTTTCCAGAAGCAACCAATGTATGAGACCAGTATAAAACACCTTGATTGATTGCTGTTTATAACTCAAATCATTTAAAATCAATGTTATTTTTTCAATATTATATGTCTCAATGACAGTTTGGAAATCGGGGAGTTTTAATCGCATAGGGATGTTGTTGATAAACCGATCTTTGAATCATCTGATGGATAGAGTGATCTAGTTTCGTGTAATTATATACTGTGTATATAAATAGAATATTATCCTAATTTTTCCTCAAAGTCACAAATTTTCAATGGTGTCCCCAATGTATTTTTTAAAGGTGAAATAAAAACTGTGCAGCAAACAAACAATATTGTGACTTTATCCAGACCTTAAATCTACAAACAATTAACACAATATCAAAACAATAAATTATACATGATGCATATTTCTTGAGCCATATTATAATAAATGTTGATAAATATCAAGATTAAATCCCCATAAAATTGAAGTCATCATTATGACTTGTATCTGAATTTACATAAAAAGTCCTCCATTAATTTAATTCACAATGCTTGATTGCATCTGAATTTACATAGCCAGTTCATAATTTAAAGCATGTTTTGTAATATATATTTACCCTAGGCAACATGTTTCTCTCTGATATTGTGTTAATAATATATATTTACATATAATGAACAGTACATGGTGCAAAATTACAATTTGTAAAAAAAACTAAAATGTTATGCTAAAGTATCTTTTTAGCCTTATAAAGCACTATAAAAGAAATCACAATTTAAATCAATAATTAGTTAATTTTCATTGTTTACAATGGTATTGGTTTTTCTGTATGCCATTACTCCCTAAGTTAAAGAAATCATACATCTGACTAATCATCAGAAAATCATTGAACTATGTGAATAAAGTTTTAAGTCAATAAGATAATAAATTTATCCTCTAGAGCGTTCAATGTGAGCATAAAACAGAATTCCAATAATTTAAAACCGTCCAGAAAATGGGTAAACTGGGCAGTATCTTCTTTCAGTATAGGCCAGCTCAATTGTCTTTGCAGGTGGTTTATCAAAGTGGATTCAAGAAGAAATCCAACCAGTTACTCTTATTATAAAACAAATCCAATTATCAAAATCTTAATTTAAATTACAATTAGAAGAAATCACAGATATAATATAATAGAAAATAATAATTACAAAAATTTGTCTCTTTTAACTACAAAGACTGTACAAAGCATCAAATTACAGTCATATCTTAGATTATTTTCATATGTATTATTGCCTACTATTGTTGTTCTATCCCTGCTTATGATAATTAAGCTTTACACATTTAAAATAAGTCGTTCATATTTGGATACATAAATAATGTTCTTCTGGAATTCTATAATATAGTCATCTAAAAAAATAAATATACATAAGTGTCTAATATAATGTTAATAGTATACAGTATACAATAATATAATGTTAATAGTTTCCATAGCCATCTCATTATCTTATTTTACCAAAATACTTCACAAAAACTATTTTTCAAAAATTTATATTCACATTGAAAGAATGGCACAGAAAACATAATAATAATGTTATAAGTAAGATGTAAGATACAGATTGTTTTTGAATACAGGTTTCCTTATGATACAATATTTATTGAAGACTTTGAAAATCTTAATCTCTATTTCATCGTAACAGTTAAAGGAGCTAAATCGCTAATATTTGGGACCTAGAAATTGACACAAATGGGTCGCAACGCATATAATAATGTAATATGAATGTATATAAACGGATTTACATTCAATCGTTTCTGTTTTTACTGTAATTTCTAATCAGTTATGTTCGGCGAAATACGCCAGAAGTCTCAATTGAATGACAATCATTAGCGTCTGGTGATTCCAGTCTACACTGATGGTATTTATTGCGCATGCTCTCCAGATAAAAATATAGCGTCACCATTTCACATGACTTGTGAAATATGTCTAGTCGTGTTCTTTGAGTCCCTTGTTCCAAATGGCGTTGAAACGCATTATGGTACACGATTCGTGTACCAATGGTAAAATGTTTATTTTGTCTTGAATATTGGATATCAGAAGTCCATCTTTTCTCTGTAAGATAACATGACCAATGTTGATTTGAATTGACAAATAATTTGTGTTTTCAATGTCGAATATTTTCGATGATATTGAGTTAGAGACTTAGCTACTTTAAGTCTGAATGTAAAGGAGTTAATAATCAAGATGGCTGATGATACTCTATTTAGGATTTTCATGTTAAATATCTATACTAGCACAGAAAATCCAGTAGCCATTGAACTTTATGTAAAAACACAAATGATTAAGAAAAAATGTTTCCTTAATTAACATGTTATTAGTACCATTAAAAAAGTGCATAGTTTATTATTGGCAATTACACAAACTGTGGTTATGGTGTACAATCAGTTGATAGTTTCTTACTTTTCCATATTAAGCAGCAAATTTCAAGCCAATCTTAGAAATAAGTAAAGGAAACATTTCTATGAAACAACGAATTTTGATGTATCTAAATCATTATCTCAAAGCTTTCACACACAAAGTATATAAAAGAAATACGTTTGTCTTAACATATCCACATAAAAAATATTAAAATGCAATCTATGCATGGTAACATTACACACATAAATGCAGAATGCATGAAGTTGACACTTCAACTTCTTTGAAAGAAAGAAACACATCACTTGTATGTTGAAATAATATATCCTATAATATGCATATCACAAAAAAAAACCCAATTAGGCCACCTCATTGTCATTTAACACAGTAGGACATTAAACCCCATTTCATTTCATTGTCATTTAACATTTATATAAATTGACATATATGTAGAGGTCGAGATAGCAATTTAAAAGTTGCGTGAAAAAATGCAAAGGCCTACAAAAATCTCCAAAAACTGATTATCCAACAGAAATAATGAATTTAAAAAAACAAAACATTTGCCTAACATCATTGATCTGTCTTCACATAAAAATCTAATGTTCTTTTAGTAATACCAATGGTCTGTTAGTACACTACATAAAAAAAACCCCAAAACAATAAGCATTTGATCTCTTACATTTTGTTCTGTGGAATTTGCATGAAAAACACATGACCTCTGCATATATGTACAATTTTGCTTCTTGCAAAGACCTTTTCATACCTTTTATTGAGTTTTAAGAAAATCAGAGGTCTATCTATCAAGGATCCAATTATTATTTTCTCCATACAGATTAATAAGTATTTCTTAGAAATTTTTACATTTTATAACTGTAAAAATTAGTCGGTTGATGTTTTGGATTATCAATTTCATGGAAGAATTATTCTTAAAAATTAAACTGAAAAATGGGATTTTCTCAACACGTCTTGTCACATAAGCCGACAATTTTTATCATTTAAATTTATGAATCCTACATTATGGTTGAAGATATACAAAATCAATGATACATAAACAGACCTCTGATATTCTAAATTTCAAGTTGAAGTATATATATTTATAGATATAAACTAGTTCAAATTATACATTATTTTTAAAAGATATTTATTTTTTTATGACAGAACATGTAGTAAGAAAAGAGCTATATCCAAGCTCAGAATAAAATAACCTTTCCTTTATTGACAAACAATTTATATCAGTTTATAAAGATAAAAATTGCTTTTCAAAATTTGCATAGAAGTTTCTTTAGGAGCGGTTTAATCAATCTTTTCAATCTTGTTATTAGTAATTGTTTGGTCAAGCTTAACATTTTTTATGGCATTTAATGCAGAATTGTTAATAATCATCAGTATTTAACAAAATATAATTTATTTAATAATTCAATATCGTTGACAGCATCGACTGAATACTGTCATATACCATCAATATTTATAAGGTAGAAATTGACTCATTGATAATAAAAATTATCACAATCTTAGTAAACTTGATGCTTATCAATAAAAACTTCAAAAGTGTTAGCTTCTTAGTTTTAAGATTGGTATTAGCTCTTGTAAAACGAAAAGGCAATATTCTAATGTGTCCGTGAATAACCTTTTAAGGGGAGGTGCTGGTCGCAAAACATCAACATTAAAAAGAGGTATGTCTACTGTCATATTTTCAAATATATATAAAAAAAAAAGACCCAAAAAAGCTTTCAGTCAGAAACCAAATCATGCCTCCAAATTTCAAAGCTTTGTCTTTTATAATTTTAGACTACAATTATTTCTTCTGTGATGATACATGTACAAATACACTATCAAGATATAAGGCTGAATTAAACTATGTCAAAGCCATTTTCGAACGGCACCTCACCTCTGCAGTGTCCTGCAGTAAATGCCTAGATATAGCTCTTTGAAACATAGAATGGTATTAAAGTCTAAGTATTTTATCATTGTTAACTGGGAGAATCGGTAGGTGGGGTATAACTACTGCTACTTGTACTACATTCCCCACTAGAACCAGCGGCCTGGGGACTATTTTTATTTTTCTTTAAACTATCAAGGTATTCTTGTTGGGACTGTGCTATAACTTGTGTTAATATGTCATTGTCATCATAATCCGATAACCCTGAAAAGAAACAAATAATTATTTTGGTAATAACACTTTTCATACATACCATTATCTAAATTTCAATACTTTTAAAGTTTTATTTCCTAAATATCTGAATTTGGTATCGGGAACAACCCTGGCCTATGTATATTCCCTATCTAAAACTATTGTGAACTGCTAGACTGACAAATGGATGACAATGTATGACCACATATACAATATATGGACATGTGGAAATAGAAATCAAGTCTTAATACTACTTACCAAACATTGCAGGGGGTAGATTGTCCATTAGAGAAGTTGTTTCCTCGAATCCACCAACAGCTCCAATAGACATGGTAAAATCAGTAGGTATCAATTCTTTCTTCTCTTCACTTGATGAACCTATAATTTTGTGTTATATAACTTTAATAAAATTATGCAGTTATACACTTATATCTTAAAATATGCCTTAAGATAAAATGTTAGGCATAGTTATTCTATGAAGAAACATTTCACTTTCTCTTCATACTTTCATCAATTCCATAAGGGAGACAACTTTTCTATTTACCATTATTACCCCCCCTTAGACCACAAATCTTGTGACTTGACAAAAATTGTTTAGAAAAGAACAAAAATTTTGTGAGTAACACATTTCCAATCATGTGCCATGGTCTTGCACATAACAACATTAGATTCATAATAGCCTAGTACATTTGAATACATGCAAGCTTCAAAAGAAATAATATTTAACTGATCCTTGTTTGCCCTTGCTGTTAGTTTTAGGTGAGCAAATCAATATAATGGGAAGGAGAGGAGAGAATTCATTTTGTTTGCAGTAAGAATCAGGGTTCTTAATCCATTTTTTAACATAACGAGACTTCCACAAAAATAATTCTTGTTAATTTGTTATGGAGAATGTCGTATCCTGATGTATGTGATTACCACAAAAATAACGACAATTAGGTACACCTTTTGAAAATCTTCCATCTTTAATTCACGTACCAGCTTTCAAGTTCACATCAGTATAATACTGAATAAATTACTATCTTCGTTTATTCGATGAAACGTTCCTATTTCATCAGTCGATGATCCAAAATATTAACATTTTTCTACTATTGCCAGTATCAGAAAATGCTGCAGCCAAAATAAACTGATACGGCACCATGGCATTTTTTCATAACACAATTTGTAGTTTTTTTTCTATCACGTAACTAGTCACGTAACTTGCAAAAGTTTTTATTCATTCGTCGATGATAGACAAAAACGGCACAATTGTCAAATTACAACCATAATTGAAATTGCTCTAAAATAAAATTCTGTACAATTATGATATAGCCTTCAATAAAAACGACAATATTTTCAAAATTAAGCCTTTGTCAGAATGTGTATATAATAAAAAAAATCATAACGGTAAACGCTATTTAAAACTGGTTTATTGACCTAATTCCAAGCGATATGTCGGCATTGGACAAATATTATTAATGACTGTTTCTCGGTGTATTCAGTGTTCTATAAGGGGATTATACTCAATGAAGATATAAATCTACCTAACAACTGGTCAGTGAATCCATTGATGTATGACCCAGTTATTATTTTAATATCTACCGGTACCTGGAATTCATACGGAACATGGAAGACGCTCGATTGGAAAACCATGCCGAGATTGTCTTCTTTCGCCACGTGGGATATTTTTACAAAAGGATCTTACTGAACCTGTTATGAATAATCAGCAAGTTTGTTTTATCCAAATTACCGTTAAATGTGCTAATTAGGCTACTCAGATTATGAACCATGGCCGATTCTCACTAAGGTATGCCTGTTGTTGTAGCCGACAAGCAAGTTGATTGACTTCTTATTTAACATGTAATAATAAACCCGATGTAATTTAGCCAATAGTAGATTGATTTATGATACCATAGTGGCCGGTTCATTGTTTTACCAATCGGCTAGATTAAACATCAATCCGCTAAAGATGACAAAAAACAGTCGTTTAAAAACACTGGTGAGAATCAACTTAAAAATCTGTGGGTTATTACCTTCTTGTCCAGTTGAGGGTGCTGTAGGTACATCCATCATCTCTACTCTGGTTGGACTGTTTTGGTTAGAATTATTACCTGAACGAAGTCTAGGAGAGCGATTTCTAGGTGGATCAGGTGAAGAAGTATTTTCAAAGGTACTGTGACTATAATCACTTGATGAACTGCATGTGGCACTCGCAGATCTCTAAAATAATCAGTGTATCTTTTTACAAATTTTTCAAATAATAATAACACTGAGATCAAGTGACTAAACCATGATAATAGCAAATACTCAAAGACTTCACATAGCCATATTTATATACTAACCCCTCCTTTATCCCAAAATAAATAGATGACAATCATTAAATACTTGAACAGGGGGTTTCATTAAGAGCTGGCGCCCAGCGAATTTCCCAGCCTACTTCGCTCCTTGCGCCGGCTATATTTTATATCCATCTGACAATTTGTTAAATATAAATGTACTGGTAGTACTTCTTAAACTGGTGTAAGATCAAAATTTTTTCCGGGGGGTATGGCGCCGAACCCCCCTAGGATATTTCACGCCTGCGGCACTATTTTCAAGCCTTCCCCTCTCACAAAATTAGCCACCTAATTTGATACTTTACCCACCGACAGTAATATTTAATGAAACCCATGCTTGCATATTCTTTTTTTTAATTTAGCATCAAGCATTCAGAATACTTTTCACTTTGCTTAATCGGAGCATAAAATACATATCAAATTTAGTCAAGGTATTTCTCAAATTTAGTCAAGGTATTGATACATTGAAACTATATCATTCTTGCTATCATAGAATCAAGATTTTGCTGTTCCAAAGCATCAACAATTAATTCTCTTTGCTTAGCCTGAGCAGAAATTACTCATAAAAGATCTTTGTCGTGGCATTGATGTGGTCCGCGGGTGCACTAGTCCGTCGCTATAAGAAATACTATAAAAGTGGGTATCAATAAACCCTAACCCAACCCAACCCTAACAATAGATATCGGTGGACTAATGAACCTGCGGACTAGTGAGCATTCGCCAATGAAACTGTGTCGAGTTTCATCAATGTCACTAAATTGGAATCAAAGTTATCGTATTCCAATTGGCTTATCTCTGCTTAGTACAAGCAGAAAATGAACCTAGTTCAGACATTCACCCAATGAAACTCTACACTAAATTTGAACATTCTACCTGAATTAGAGGCAGATATATTGTGTCCCAAACAGTGTGATAATTAGATCAGTCAAATGATATTGCTCATTTAATATTTTATATATGTCTCACATCTGGTTTCTGTATCCAGATCCAGGCAAAGAAACATTGGGCCCAGATAAGGCAAGTTGTCCAAGCAGTCCGCAGAGATTGTCGCTTATTTATTCTTTAACTTTATTTTAACGTTAGCAATTGTGGATGATAGATGGTGGTCATGACAATATAGTATACGACTACGAGTAATTACATTTCAAATAAAATATTTTACTTTTCTGCACTAACTGGGCCTACGCATGCGGTGTGCTAAGGGGAATTTTGCCTAGACAGAGGCACTAGTGACGACCATATTTTAATGTTGGCATATAGAAATTATATTGCTAGTTTATATTGCCATGCATTGTTCACAGCTGCTTAGCCTCAATTACAAAATATATCTATAAGAATATTTCTAATTACAGTTCCCTGTCTAAGAGCTCTCTTCTCTTGTTCCTGTACCCATTGTAAATAAGATTCCCTGGCTACTTGTTCTTCTATTGTATCTTGTGTCAGCTCCCAGTCTGTTTCACGCATTTTATCTTCTAACATAGCCTGCCAAAATATATATCAAATATATAACACAGCCTATTAAAATCTATATCAAATATATAACATAGCCTGTCAAAATATATATCAAATATATAACACAGCTTATTAAAATCTATATCAAATATATAACATAGCCTGTCAAAATATTTATTAAATAGATAGATAACATAGTCCACCAAAATATATCTCAAATATATAACATAGTCTGCCAAAATATATCTCAAATATATAACATAGCCTACCAAAATATACATCAAATATAGCCCGCCAAAATCTACATTACAAACATATAACATAGTCTGCCAAAATATATCTCAAATCAAACAATAACTTATTAACAGTACGAAATGTTGAAGATGCATTATGTAAGAATTAGATAAAGAGCTGGCGTTCAAATTAGCCGACAAATGAATAATGAAAATTTCAGTCATATTACTTTATTCTATACGGAGTGTTTGAGGTTTTGACAAAATGTTGCGTAGATAGTTAATTATCGTAGCAATGGTACTTAACAATCGAGACTTAGTGTCAATTATCTATTTTATTGTTAAACTCTTTAATGGCCGCGGTTTTCTAATTTACTGAAAATTGGGGGCATCTGATGTCCCAGACAGTTAGTCGATTATGTGCCGTGGTGTTCTACTTTACTTAAAGGAGCTAAATCGGTAACATCGGGGACCTAGAAATTGACAAAAGTGGGTCGCAACGCATATAATACTGTAATATGAATGTATGTAAACTGATTTACATTCAATGGTTCCGTTTTTATTCCAATTTCAAATCAGTTATGTTCGGTGAAATAAGTCAGCAGTCTCAAGCGGTTGCAAATTTCTAGCGTCTGGTTATTCCAGTCTACATACCATTTGATTTGGTGCAATGTGTCTAGCCTCGTCCCTCGAGTCTCTTGATACAACTGGGGCTGAAGCGCATTATGGTACACGATTCATGTACCAATGGTAAAATGTTTATTTTGTCTTTTGTCTTAAATATTGGATATCAAAAGCTCATCTTTTTCCAGTAAGATTCACAACATGAATGTTGATTTAATTTGACAAATAAATCGTGTTTTCAATGTTGAAGATTTTGGATGATATTGAGTTAGAGACTTAGCTACTTTAAAATTAGAGTCATCTGATGTCCCAGACAATTCGTTGATTATGAGCTGCTATGTTCTATCTACTTATATTCAGAATCATCTGTGTAAAATTTTGTATTATTACTAGTAGACTAGATATAAATATTGCTTATTTAGATAGATATCTATAAACAATGTCAGGTATCCAACAATTAAATAGTATCAGGGAGAATTGAAGGAAAAAATAAACAACCTTTTCTATATGGTATTCTTCTGACTGCTTTTTAGCATCTTGCATTAAATTATTTTCAGCTAACTGAAAAAAAAAATATTATGAAAATAAGATAAAGACAATAAATAAGCACTGATCAAGCCATGTTAAAGTGTTCAATTGATCTTCATACTACTTGTTGCATGCTGCTTTATCTCAAGAATATAAACACTGTATACACTTCAAACAAATCTTATAATAACTTTAATCTCTAGAGCCTTTGGATGCGGAGAAAACCTTTTATTAAACTCTGATTTCACCATTAGTTGACTAATAAGCTTTCTCCCTGATACAGAACAGACAATTTTAATGCATCGATTTCTAATTTTATGTAAACATATGGGAAACATGATAATGATGACTTACTCCTGGTTGGTAGCCTGGTAAACCAAGTCCCACACCTATTGTTGCTTTATATGGATCTACTATAGAGTTATAGTGAGCATTACGGTGATAACTGATTCTAATAGGCTCATTCTCTGAATAAGTTCCATCACCATGAAATATATTTATTGGTTCTGCAAAAATAAATCATTATTATATAATTATTTTAAAAAACTAGCATAATTTTATTCATTATAACTAACTAAAGCATCAATAAACATGATAATATCAGAGATAAATAGATTCATCGATACTGATAAAATATTTATTAAGGTATCACTGTCATCAAGAAAATAAATGTATTGAATTTGAAAAATATCACAATTCGAATAAAATTACACTTATCTACTTACTAAAATCCTAGCACTAACCTAATTTAAATAAGGCATGTTGCCATTGTATCGTTAAACTCCTTGTAAGACTGACAGTTAACTGTAAGTGAAGTGATGGATTGACCAATTTGTCTCAAATTAATTAATTATGCATACAATTTTGAACATCTCTGCAGTGACTTTAAAAATCTTACAGTTAAACCCTAACCATTGCTGAGAAAATGTAAACTGATTATTAAGTCAAAAATTTTGTCTGGGAACAGCATGATTTATGCACCTTTATAGTAAACTAAAACCTTACCTAAACTATATTGATAAACTTCAACTCTTCTATTAAACAATTCACTCATTGCTTGCATTTCTAGGTGGTTACCATGGCAATTATCATGCCGTTTACGATTTAGATATGTAAAAAAATCTTCTGTCACATATTGCGAGAAAAAATCACTATTTTTAGCCTGAAATAAAAAAAGAGGTTGAATTTTAAATTATGTATTGATGTAGTGAAAATATACACCACACATGGTTCAATTTTATTTCAATAATTCGCTTGCGCGCAGGGGTTTTTAGCAGTGGGAGGAAACAGGAGAAAACCAACCGTACATGTGTCACGTACAACCGGGTAATTGAAACCACACCAGTTGACTCAATGAGAAACCTTATGATACAGCGCCAATTTCCCCCCATAAAATCCTACCATTCTATATTTGTTAGCTGCGTCGATTAACAGAAATCATCCTAATAAATTGTTTGCCATGGTCGGCGGTTGCCATAAAGAAGCGGTTACTTCAATATTTCACATCATACAAAATAAGCACAAAACTAAAAGCCTAGTCATGACTTCCAGTTTTTGTTTGGGTTTATAAATATGTGATTGCAAAAAAATAGGCTTTTGGGTATCAGTCAAAATACAGGTTATTACTGATGTGGGCCATTAACACTATTATCGACCAATATCTAAGTTATAACAAAACCGAAATTCTGCTCATCTCTAATTAGTATAGTCACTACCGTACTTAAGTGCTCAATACTGAGTTCTTTCAAATTAGTCTCAAATAAAATCCTGTCAAGATAAACTACTCACTCCTTAAATATTAATGTAAAGAATAATTCTACAAATCTTACCATATAATCTATACAATGTTTTCTTACTACTCCATTCATTTCTTGATCACCATAAACCTGATCAGCTGAAACAAAAATTTGCATATATAATTACTTTTTCTGATGTTCACATTGCCTGGTTTTTATGGGATTTGGGTTTTAATATTTTATCACCTCCTGTTTTATCAGCATAATAATACAATATTCCCATCTGTGATTGAAGGAAAGTAAGCATAAAAACTGTTTATTTTAATCACCTCCAATCTGTTACCATGGAAACTTAGCTGTGATGTCATAAATTATGACATATCAGCTATGACATCATCAGTGACCGCCCTAGACTCTTAAAACCTTTAGCCAAATTTTTAGCCAAATCAAAATTTTATTAGCCAGAAAGTTTTAGCCAAATATTTTATATCATTTTTATTCATCTGTTTGTTAATTAAAAATGAAAATAAATGCTTAATATTTACTTATTTAGTACCCAAGAATATTATTTTATCTCCTGGACTGTCCAAAAGTTCCACATTTTGGAGAAAATGAATGCAGATAACAAAACAATGTTTATAGGATAAATTACTTCACAGCCACATGATTTAGTTCATCCTCAAAACAGAAAAGACACGACGATTCTTTTAACACACCACTGATCATACGCTCTGACAAATTCAAAATTTATGCTTTCCGGTCCATCCATTTTTATAAGTATGAGGTCATTGAGGGTTAGCTCGGTCTGGTTAAGGTCTAATTTCTGTCCACATGTTGATGAAGCCAACGAAGGACTTGCGTCAGAGGGCTGCGTCGATACAGTTCATTTTCGATATGATACGTATTGACGATATGGCAAACCGATATGTGATACGTATCGCGATATGGTGACATCATGAATTATGCCCAAAATAACCCAAACTACATCCTGTTTCAAGACGTTTGTTTGAGATGGGTAAGCATCAGGGTTCTTAATCCATTTTGAAAAGAACCAGCCAGAATTGGGTCAATTGATCGAGGTCCCGTAGGAAATGGGTTAATTATAAGCATCCATTCAATTTAAAATTAGACTTGGTAATTTGTTATGGAGAATGTTGTATTTTAATGTATGTAAGTGATAACCACAAAAATAATGACAGGTATATTTAATTCACATACCATCTTGAAGTAATACTGTCTTCGATGATCTAAAATATTAACATAATTCTACTACTGTTTGTATCAGAAAATACCGTAGCCAAAATAACCCTTAATTTGGTAATTACAAAATATGGTTTATATAACAGGTATTATACTTCTCTAAGCTAATTAAGGGGGAGAGGGGGGGGGGGAGAGCAGTATGATTGAAGTTAGGTTTTTATAATATGTAGAAATGGCCAAAAAGGAACAACAAAAGAAGGAAACAATGTGATTAAAATTAGGTTATATAATAACTAGAAATGTCCAAAAGAAACAAATAGGAAAACTATGGGCCAATAGACAATTATTTCTCCATCTTAATTAGTTCATCATAGGCCTTTGGTATATATAACCCTGTGTCTCTATTCAGTTCTGGGCTGTGGCGTTTGATTTGGATGGCTTCTATGATTTTCCTGTTTTTCTTTTGGTGTTTATGTATGGCTAAGGTTTGGACATTCTTTCAGTCTGGTTCGTGGCCCTGGTTCTTGCTTATATGTTCTGCTATTGTTCCTTTTTGGCCATTTCTACATATTATAAAAACCTAACTTCAATCATACTGCTCTCCCCCCCCCCCCCTCTCCCCCTTAATTAGCTTAGAGAAGTATAATACCTGTTATATAAATAACATATTTTGTAATTACCAAATTAAGGGGTTATACTGTATACATCCATTATTATACATTTCTTACTTATAGGGCTTCAAATTGTTTATTTTGTCTATATCAAATTTATGGCTTTGTTGCTCCCTGACTATTGTTAACCACTGATTATTGTTAACCCCTATCAATTAACTAATATTTAAGTTTTAATTATCCTTTGATCAATTTATACATTATTATAAATTTCTTATTAATAGGGCTTCAAATTGTGTTTATTTTGTCTATATCAAATATATGGCTTTGTTGCTCCCTGGTCACTGTTAACCCCCATCAATTAACTATATTTAAGTTTTAATTATCCTTTGATCAATTTAACTATTATCTTGTATTATAACAGCATTTATTCTATGGCTTCTTTTTTGTTTTACTATAAATATCACCTTTTAGTTTAACTAAATATCATTTGTGCTTGATAACGATAAGAGAATACTTGACGTCGTGCTATACTTATAAACCAGTGATTGTATTTCCATATAAACTGTGTTGTGTTTTTAATATGTTCAATCGCTAAATGCCACTCAAGGATTAAATTATGACTTTCTCAGCGTTTGTTTTCATCCGGCTTATTTTCAATGCTTGTATAAAAGTGTTTGTTTGTCGGAAATGAACAGTACTCTTTCTGGAAAGCGTACTGTTCATTTTTGATACAGATATTTTATGCCTGTATTGGAAATAAACAGGACAGTTTTATCAAAGGTTGCCACTGGCAACGAGGTAGAAGTGGGACGTAAATAATTATAATTATAACAGTTTTAAACCAATCACACACATATTTTAATGTAGGCTATGTTAAGATGGTATACCTACTCTTGTGCAACACCTTGGCTATAAATAGAAGTACACATGTTAAACTTAATGTAAGCTTTTCTGCGATATCACCTAGGTGGAAGGGGACGTTAAATAAAACTATTTCACAGATCAATGTAAGTTATAAATCTTACCAATAGAACGGAAAAGGCAAGCACCATCTTCTCCCATCTTTTTTATATTAAATCCCTTCTTTTCTTTTAAAGCTGCTTCAAACCACCTTTCAAGCTAAAAGGTGAAATACAACACAATTCTAACAAAGTTTATATACATGTAGCGAATCATAAATAATTTCACTTATCTATAAATAAGCCTACCAGATTTATAATTTTATGATGTATTTGCCAGTGCAGTTGATTCACAGATCACTTTTCAATGTTATTCCCAATGCCAGAAACATACATCAAAATTTTATATGCAACTGCAAGTTGCTGGTGTGACAAAATTACAGTAGATCAGTTACTGTTACTGATCGACTAAAGGAGAGTAACAGTCACCTTAGTTCAGCTGTCTCATTACACTTGCTGTTACGTTCAGGAACCATTCTACTGGCGGTTATATGGCTGAGTTACGTAAATTGTGCATTACCCTATATTTAGATTTCAATGGCTTCTGCCAAGCCGTTTAGCAGAAGGGGACGCATTTTTAACAGCATGTTGTGTTGTACATACCGACTCTAGCAAGGTAAGCAAGGTCTTATTTTCTCACTAAAATGTTCCTTTACGTTGTTCAGGCGTTCACAGAGACTGACACACAACCGTTTAGTAGTAAAATGTTGCCCAGTAAAATTGACTGGGGGCCAATACTTTTTCGACAAGGATTCAATACAGAACCCAGGTCGTGCGTTTAGAAAAGAGTTAGCGATTGTATTCCATAAAAACTGTGTTCTTTTAATGTGTTTACCGATCGCTAAATGTCACTTAAAGATTAGGATTCAATAAGGCGGTCCCTGAACATAAAGGGAGAGTGTAATGAGACCTACGTTCAGAGCTGAACTACAGTCACTTCAACAAGTACAGTAAGATCCTAAATGTCATGTTAAAAAACCTCCTGTTTCAAATTCCCAATAATTCTTGTATACTGGTACTTCTGTTAGCTGTGAGTTTTATCAAAGTGTTGCTTAGGCTTACCGTTTCTTTAACTTTATTTGTGTAAAACAAATAGCCTAAATACAAAGAAGAATTTTTTTTTGAAAAGATGTACATTTCACTAGATGTACAAAAATGAAGTATATTTTACATAAAAATAAAACTAATTTATGATACCATATAAATGTTAAAACAAAAAAAAAACAAAGATTGACATTTTGTTTCGGTCTTGGAAAACTATTGATTGACTGGTTTATTTTTTTTTGTATACAACACTACTAAATAATTCATACATTTTAATCAATCTTATCATTACAGCCCTCATTTGACATTAATTGTACCTGTAAGCTTAACCGTTTGTACAAAGGAATATGACGTGATAATATAAACTGGAGATCAAGATGAAAAGCCAACATGCTTGGGGGGTAGTGATTACAAATTCACAGGCACTGTTGTCATGGGGGTGCAAATGCTATACTGGTATTGTCAATGGCATCGTCAGAAAATATTTCTGCAAAAATGCTAGATACTACAGTATTCAAGTACTGGTAAGAAAAAGATTCATGACTTTTTATTGTTATGAGCAAAACTTAATACTCATTCTATGCATGTGTTACACTTAAAGTAAAGGTGCATGAATATCAGTGTGGGAGATATTCTCGTACCGGTGTGTTGGCCTACTGTTGCTTTAATGCAGGTCAACAGAATTAAACACATTATCCTAACGATTTTGGCCAAGCATTTTTCTCTTCCAATCAAAGTCAGCTTGCTCATTTCCAAGGGGTAATCCTATATCTAGCTCATTTAGAGATGTCTTGCGTTCTAGTGTCTGGTGAGGTGAATACCAGAGAGGTTACCTACCTCTTCTTCATTATCACTGCGTGGTGGTGGAGCTATGTATTCGTCGCCACTGTTATACCCAGAACATTCATCCTCTAATTCATTCGACGGCCCAGCACATGGACTGTGAGGCTGGGAAGGAGTTGAATGACCCCGATGTTTACGGTTAGTTCGATGAGGAGATGATCTGTGTCTCCGTTTGTTTATGTTATGATTAGAAATAGAAGCCGTGCAAGTTTCATGGTTTGTTCCACCTGGGTCATGGGTTGGCAGTTCTTCACGAGGTGCATTTGGAAGCCATCTTGTTGGCGATGTTCTTCCTCGTGCTGGTTTGTCATGTCTGACTTCACTCGCAGTATTATGATGATAATGAGAGTGATTGTGACTGTGAGGGTGTTGGTGATTGTGACTGTGCGAATGTCCCCCTGCATGTTCAGATTTATCCGAATCAGTTTTATCTTTGGTCGCTTTTTTCTTCGGTAAAATCGTCATTTTGATGTTGAGGCACACACACAACACTTACTCCTGACTTAATCAAATAAAAAATTGGTTTTAAAATGGTATTATATATTCATTTTCATTAATTTTCCAACTCTACTATTTCCACTTTACCATTTATCAACAATATGGCGATGTTTCGTGACGTAAACTCTACTTTCCTGGGCCTGCTCCTAGTGGTGACATATACCACAAATATTGGAGGAGACAACTCTTCCAAAAAAGAAGATCAAAATTAAGATAAGGACTCCCCAAAAAAAGCTTTTGCTCAGTATTCATAGTTTTATTACTTTTTTAAAGATGAAGAGGGATTCCGCGAACTGAATGCTCAACTATTTTATTAGTTCAAACTTTTCGTAATCTCTGGATAGGCTATATGTGCCATTTATTATACATCGGCCTCCACACATGATTTTGTTGACGAGATCGATTCGTAATCGTACTGTAGTGTAGCTGTAGCTAACTCACTGTAGGAGGAGAGTAGGAAGTCAAGTTTTGATCAAACCTGCCGTATGTTAGTCACATGACACGGAGAACTATGTAATCTGCCAGATATAATGAGTGTTCATGTTGTACTGTAAATTCCAGAGAAGATATGTTGCTGACAAATTATTAAAACTATTAATTTTTTTCCGCAGGTTATTTGTACAACGAACTAAATAAAACTTAGTAAGTGAGAAGAATGAAGTGGTATTATTTTCTGTATTAAGTATCTCCTCGATAGTATAGTGGTAAGTATCCCCGCCTGTCACGCGGGAGACCGGGGTTCAATTCCCCGTCGGGGAGGGCCGAGAGGCTATCTTTTTATAAAAAATATTTTTATTTTTCTTCTAAATAGTAACTGAAATGATCAGTACTATTTATGTTCTATATGCGTAGAGAAAGATTTAGGTCAACTTTTATGCATTACGTGCCATCATAGTCTCAGTAGTCTGTAATTTAGGTCAGAAAACTCAGTCAACCAAGAATGAGTTCCTTCCAATTTATTACATCAAATTATCAATGATCTTTGGTTGTGTGCACGCCACTAATTTGTATATTCCAATGTATTAGGCCTAGTTCTAGAAAACTTTCATTTTGGGTGTCTCCGATATGGTCTAGCGGTTAGGATTCCTGGCTTTCACCCAGGCGGCCCGGGTTCGACTCCCGGTATCGGAACAATTGTTTTTGCATTATTATAAATATTATTTTAAATTCTCAACTCAACGTCAGTAATTCAGATATCCACAAACTTTTGAGAAACAAATATCAAGCCGATAATGATATTTGTGTTATAATGAATAATATTGTAGCATCTTATACGCTCCGATATGGTCTAGCGGTTAGGATTCCTGGCTTTCACCCAGGCGGCCCGGGTTCGACTCCCGGTATCGGAACAATGTTTTTATGCGCGTTTTTTTTTTTTAAACCAGCTTGGACATTATATATATGCTTATTATTAATTAACTGCCCTGATATTAATTAGGTTAAAATCTATAATAGATTGTATTTTAACATACTTCTTTATGAATTCACCAATACAGTGTATTTATAAATAATATGACCTATATTTTACTGAAGCCTCGATCTGATGACCCTCGACGGTCGAGATAATCACGCTTTACAAACACCGCCATGGCGCCATGAATAACCGTTGCGTTGTGTATTAAAGCATGGGTTATAAAATATCGCACCGGTGTAATGGGTAATTTACGTGTTACTCACAAAAAAAACAATGTGTGTTTTTTTTTCTCCAAATAATTCACGCCTGTGCAGTGTGAGTTACTGAGAATTTCAGTGCGTCTCGTTTTTATTATAATTAATAAATAATTTACACGTAAACTTGCCCGCGTTCGTTAATTTACATGGTTTTATGCATTATATTCACCAGTTAGTAGAAAATCCAACTGGAACATGATGATCTGGCATGGCAGTTTTTGTTTTGTTTTTTGTTTTCCAATCAGATTGACAGTTAAAGGAGCTAAATCGCTAACATTTGGGACCTAGAAATTCACAAAAGTGGGTCGCAACGCATATATATAATACTGTAATATGAATGTATATAAACTGATTTACATTTAATGGTTTCCGTTTTTACTCCAATTTCAAATCAGTTATGTTCGGCGAAATAAGTCAGCAATCTCAATCGAGTGCAAATTTCTAGCATCTAGTTATTCTAGTCTACATAACTCCATTTGATTTGGTGCAATGTGTCTAGCCTCGTCCCCCGAGTCTCTCAATACAACTGGGGCTGAAGCGCATTATGGTACACGATTCGTGTACCAATGTTAAAAAAATTATTTTATCTTAAATATCGGATATCAGAAGCTCATCTTTTCCCGGTAAGTTCACATCATCAATGTTGATTTAAATTGACCAATAATTCGTGTTTTCGATGTCGAAGATTTTGGAGGATCTTGAGTTACGGACTTAGGTCCTTTAATAATTGGACTAGAAATACACAGGACACACTTCTATGGAACACTGCAGTTACTGTACTGATGCACGTTTCCATAACTAAATCTAAAAAAACCTCTGGCATGTGGGTATAAAAAAATACAATTCTACTTTAATTACTGACTTTATTAGAGTTCATGACCTTTTTAGTAGATAGGCAAGCATGATATTATATAATGTTATATTCTAAAAGAACTAGAATAAATTTATGCTTGCCTTATAATACAAGTGTTCACTGCCCTAAAACAGTTCACATATATTTCTGTGCTAGTGAAGAAAACAAGGAATTTTATATATAAATACAATACAATTTATACAAAGAACCCATATAGACTTCTACATGTACACTTAATAACACTATGACTGAAAAAAAAATCTTTAAAATAATTCAATATGTATATGTCCATCGAATTTTCAAAACCAAATCAAAAGTAATGGTCTCTGAATTGGATATCTTGAGTAAATTTACGTTTTGACCAGAATCACAATCTTTCTTAGCAACAACATATCAAATAATAAAAGACAATTATTTTGATTTGGTTTCTTTCATACTTAAATCTTGAAGAAACAAAAACACAATGAAACATTCATGGTCAGTTCCAGAAAAAAGTCTTTGGATTCTTTTTTAGAACTCATTTTACAAAAAAAGTGTAATTAAATGCTTTAACAAGTATAAGTTTTAAGATGGATTTCTGTTACAATTTATACTCTTATTTTGGTGTAATCCATTCACAGACTGAGAACATTTGTAATTAAACCAATAGCCAAAAATTGTTGTTTCCGACAAATAATTCTTGCTTTTCAAACACTGTCTGTTTTAACAAATGAAAGTTCACCATGTGTGTACTTACAAGCAACTGGAAACAAATTTTGATGAAGTAAATATTTTGAGTTTCAAAAAAGACTATTATCCCACCATATCAAAGAAAAAAGCATGACTTCCTTCTGGAATGAATCTTCGATAAATTTGGACTGTGTTCAATGGTTTATAGAACTATAAAACATATTTTTTTACAAACTGACTACATTTATCAAGTTTATTATTGGAATTCAAATTGGACATTAAATACAACTGGACACAGCCCAATCCCTCATAATGTTGATATACAAAATAACAATGAATATATTCACACCTATTATAATCAACAGACCCTTAATTAAACGAAAAAATTGTTTGCCTACAAACATTCACAAGCAAAGAATTATTAACAAATTGTACAAAATACCTAAAATTATGTATTTAGTCCAGTTAATTCTTAATAATGATAAAATTGAAAACTTACCTCACCCATTTATATTGATTTTGACAGAATAAGTTCTAAACCATTTAAATTTGGTATTATATAAATGGTTAAAATAAAATACTATGAAACATTCTCAAGATGTAGAATCACAATTAAAGTCTTTATCATCATAATCTTTGACAGGCCTTCTTAATCTGAGTGAATCCAAGCCTTGAGATTATCTACCATTGATATTTCTTTTTCTTAATCAAATATTAAGTTTGAGTACAATGTAGCGTGGATTCAGCTGTCAAAAATCAGATATTTTCCAAGAACTGTAAATGACAATCGGCAGCTCTCAGTTCAGTTCCGAAACATTAAATTTTTTGGTAATTGTAAGCTATGATCAATGTATTGACAATATATTAAAATCTCTGTGAGTGGATATATTTTAGACGTCATGTACCAGAGTTTTATATCATTACTAGCATTTTAATTCATTAAAAACAAAATTCTCTTCGATATCCATACATTCATTGCTCATTAAGATAACTGTTCCAACCACTGTCAAATTATATAAATTATATGGTAGCATTTTACCACGATGTATCGAAATTAAACCCAGAGGCTAGTCAATTTTGAAATAAAAACTGTCATATCACCACTTTCAGGTATAATAGCTTTTATGTAATGGTTAATCGGGAGACTGACTTGTATCTAAAATCCATCTAACTTTCCAATTCAGAACTAGATCGATATGTACATTAGGCATAGAAATTTCTGCAAATAAATTCTATCTTAATATAAATAAAGCACTACTCTGACAAGCACCTTATCTTTTTGTCACTGGTACCCTGTTATAACAAAGAATTATCATATGTCATGCGATTTCTATTTATTCATCGCTATCTAGTAATCGAACCCACCTGCATATTAACGGCAGACATTAACTCTAATCAGTATTTCAATTCTAGACACTCTTCCCTCTGAAAGTGATGTTATGAAAGCATCATGACAAAATTAAAATAATCGTTATCGCTGCATCAAGTCGACCGCATACTTGTCTATCATTCAACATGTTTGTATTTACAAATGTATATCAACAAAAGTTTATAAACTGTCTCTCAGTATTTTTTAGTTATCACATTAGTATTTGAATTAAATGTGATATTAACATGCACATCCATCTTTAGCTTTGTTCTGATCGCCGGATAGTTTGATTTGATCAGGAAATTCATTGTACAGCTCAACATCAGTTTCTTGTGCCAGAGCATTTTTCGCGACTGTTTGAAAAGCCTGTTCTACATTTATAGCCTCCTTTGCACTGGTTTCGAAGTAAGGTATATCTCCTTTACTGTGACACCAACTTTGGGATCGTTTTGCTGAAACCTGGAAGAAGAAAGAATTCCAGGTCAAATTAAAGCGGTGACAACACAAAAAAAAACAAAACAAATAAAATTGTTTTCAGTTGGAGTCTGTGGTGGCTCCAAACTTGTTTAAATCTTGTTTATTTTAATTATTTACCACCAAAAGTTTGCAAGCCACCAAAAGTATAAAACTAAACGAAATCAAGACAGAATTATGCTCAAAAATATTCTTAATACGGGAGACATCTAGGGCATGGTCATACATGTGTCTAGTATCTAATCAAATTAAATATACTTACTGCTCTATTTTCTAAATCAATTTTATTTCCTATCACAACAAATGGAAAATTTTCTGGATCTCTAGGACTCGCTTGAATAAGAAATTCATCCCTCCAACTATCCAAAGATTTAAATGTGTTGGGCATGGTAACATCAAATACTAAAACACAACAATCAGCTCCTCTATAAAAAGCCACACCCAAGCTTTGAAACCTTTCTTGACCAGCTGTATCCCATATCTGAAATTTAGAAAAGACATACAGTACAATTAGGGCTATATTTTCACTCTTACGTTAACTGATGTTGTATGAAGCGATTTCAAATTTAACAATATCATTAACGCCTAGAAATGTTCATCAATGATAAATTTAATACTGATTTCAGGCTATTAACAATGACTAGTATATCTCCTTACTGGGTAAAGTAATAATTCACATAACCTTGGCATTAATTATAACTGTCATGTTGAAAAATAAATATTGCATGAATAACATTGAAAACAATTATCATATGCATCATTTAGTTAGTTAATAGTTAACCGTACACTGAGGCTAAAACACATCAACAAATTGCTCATGGGGAATGGGCATTAATTGGAATAAAGATGAAACACCTGTAGTTACCATGTTTATTTTATTTGTCTACCTTAATTTGTAAATCACATTTGAGCAGTTAGTCCTGAAGTTGTGCCCTATAAAATGTTGAATAATAATTTTTTGACATTCTGTATTTGCAGCATTGACAGCTACATGTAACAATCACAGCATTATTCTCCTTGATATGTTGCACCCGTAAATAAAGACAGCTTTAATTGCTTCCCAATATTAATATTGGACCTTCAATTTTACAATAAATTACAAAACTAAAGATAGAACAGCCATGTAACGTTAATAAGCCTGCATTGCACTTAAAATCATATCCTGTCAGGGTTTTCCAGCTAGTTTATTAAATGACTCAATATCACTAAAATTTTAGTAAAATTGTCAATTCTATTAAATTATTGCCAACAGAAGAAACATTATTAAGCCAATGTATAAATACCTGCATGGTGACTAATCTATCATCAACCATAACTTCTTTTGTAAGAAAATCTGCTCCTATAGTAGCTTTATACTGGTTGCTAAACTTTTTATTTACATACTGATTCATTAGAGATGTCTTTCCAACACTTAAATATACAAACAATTAAAGCAATGACATGTATGTATACTATACTCGGCAGTATACTATGCCTCTTTCTCTTTAATACTTTCACTGCCAAATACAAATACCTTTGTTTTGATGTCATGCTAAATTTTCATGAGGCCAAATCATAAAACTTTAGAATTTTAGCAAATAAATAGTTGAATTAAGAAGGGGGTTGGATACACCAGTAACTATAAATATAGAGATGCAGATTTTATCAAGATGTATTTATTTAAATTTATTACCAAAGCAAACAATTAAAAACTTCATTGGATATATTTGATACCAAATGGCAGCCCCCACGAAGAGAAATATTTGCCGGTCTACTACTATATTAAATTTAGTAGTGGAAGTGGTAGTAGCTCGGACAGTAATTGAGTCAAGGAAAATGACAGTGCCTGGGATATATCCACCAATTTCCTGATACAAGCTGATACAGGTGAAACGGGTGAAATAATTTGACCTAGACAGAGTTGTGTTCTTCGCTGGGGACAAAAACAATAAAATAATCTTTGTAAGGTATCTAGAAACAGAAATAATACCAATGATGGACGGATTCAAGATGATCATTGATCATAACACTGAAATGTACACATTAAATGATCAAGCATAGAAATAAGGCGCCGGTAAAAAATACAAATGTCAGACACAAATTCAGGCTTTGTCCGGCACAACTGTTGTAGTGCCTATCATTTTGTCCAGCACAGATTTGTTTTTTTTACAGTGCTTTTATTGATACCTTTAATGCGTGTCCAGCATGTTTAATTTTCTCTGAAATCAACTCGTTGACGAACAAATGTCTACTCGGCTGTTCTCTAGGAACAATGTATAACACATCATATTTTTTTATAGTGGAAACAGTTTTGTTAGAAAGTACAGTTATCCTAAGGACAAATGGAGTTGACGCAAAAGAAAAACGGACAGGTAGAGAATGTTTTCTTTTGCTGTTATTATTTACGAACCAATTAATAGCTTATAAAGTTTGTAATATACAAATTGATTAGTAATAACCTATATACATACCCACTATCTCCTAGAATGATAACTTTCAATAAAACCTTCTTTCTAGATGCCATTGTAGTTATATAAACCTGAAACACAACGGAATACAAAAAATAAAAAAAATATCCAAGAGGGGCTATATAAAGGGTACTGTTACTTTACAATCCCAGCATCTGTAAGCTTATTATTGTCACTGAGGGGTTTTTTTTTTTCGTTGGCATGGTTTCAAAGAGGCATTATTGTCTTGGCCAAACTGCCAAGTGATCCCTGAGTTATATGTTTTAATTCTCAATTTAAATGAAATGGGGTTTAACGTCCTACTGTTTTGCTCCGAACTGGGCTAATGAAGACGGACTTAGCCATACAGTGTGCTATGAGGGAAATTTTGCCCGGACAGCGGCACTACGGCCTACTCTTATATCGAATTCCAACTGAGTTTTAGATAATTTGGATGGGTCTAATAACTGTAATACTATTTGGAATATTCTATTAATAAAAACGGATTACAATTATTTTTTTGTTTGTGAGTGATGCCCAATCCCTCTTTCTTGTTTTTCTCTTGGTATAAAATGTGATCAGACTGTCAACTACGGATGATCATGTCAATACAGACTCAAATCAGGGTTGATTTCATTTGATACATGGTATTATTATCAAGAATGAATTTGTACTGTAGGCCGATTGATTACTTTATACAGACCACAGAAAAGAAAGTTCAACAAAGTCAAAGCTGTAGTCTACTTGAGCTTTTAAGCTTATATTTTCCCCCTACAAAGAGAGAAAAACAACCAAGACCAGGTTATTTTATCATAAATCTAGCCTCCGATAAAATCAGCTGATTTGATCAAGTGAAGCATGACCAACACAGAGTCAGAAATGACAATTTCATTTAATCTGAACTCTGGTCAGGTCTTAATATTATCATAATCATGGTTGAATTTTATTATTGAAAATAAAGTGTTACCACTATTATCAATATAGCCTTTAAAAGTATGATTTGTGGGGTTTTTTTTATTTAGATCTGACAATACTTGGCCAAGTAACTAACTTCACTAAGGACAAGGTAAGACTAGGAGTAAGAGATAAAAATAGATTTTTATTCTAGGCCTAGGCCTAATGTTAATGATGAAGTCTACAATCCTCTACAAAATCAAAATGTTAAATTGCATGTTGATAAATAATTGCGAATTTGACACAATGACAAGACAATGAATATGAAATAAGAGGATGATATGATTTTCCACAACAAATCGCCATAATAATAAACAAATCGAAAAATGTCAATTTATTTTAACAAAATCTTGGCTTGAAATTTCCCCAAGACGAACCGCACAAAGTTGGGCATATACAATAACTGGCGTGACATTAAACTGAGAGGAGAACGATTAAAATATGCAATACTATCTATCTGATAACACAGAGCATTGTTATACTTACCTCTTTGTCAAATCAATTGAAATTATTCTTATTTTTCGACTTCTGTGTACTCCCTCTTTGACAATATGGCGATGTCCCGTGATATCTGACGTCACCTTCCTCTGCTAAATTTAACACTTCCGGATCAATCTACTTTCGATTTTTTTTTTCTGTTAATACAATGTCTTCAAGCAAAGAAGATATATTAATTCAAGACGATGGTCGCGATTTCAGCTCTTCGGAATTAGGAACTAAAAAATAGTAAGGGAACCGAGATGTTATAAGAATGCTTGCGAAACACGGAGTAACAACAGAAATCTTAGAGACATAAGCTCTATTTTAATCAGATTATATAAATAAGCACGTGCTCAGTGAAAATATAAAGATAAATCTGTCACGACTCACGTGAATGAATGATAGTTAGTCAGTTAACAGTAATTGTCAATCTCAAAAGACGGATACGGGCTGTGGCATAATGCAGAATGTCTGAAAGGGAAATGTAGGAATTAGAAAAATAGGCGGACACTGATATAGTCTTGTCAGTTTTCTATAGCCTATCCGGATTACGCAAAAAAAATCTTACCTACTACTACTAGTAAATGGTCTTCTGCTTATGTCATAATTACGAGATAATCAGCATGAAATTGGCAAACATTATGACATATATTGTCGTCGCCCCTGTCCGGACGTCCGTCCGTCCGTCCATAATTTCTTTGTGGACACTTTACGGGTCACAATTTTTATCCGCTTTTGACGAAACTTATTTCCTAAAGATCTCGGTTCCTTTCAAAATTGGCATGTATTGGACTGTAACTTAATGGATTATGGTCCAAGATTGTACAAATAATCACTCTAGGGGTCACAATTTTTATCCGATTTTAAGAACCGTTTAAATGTATCACCGCTACTACACCATAATAATGGTTGAGTTAGAATTTTGTGAAAAGCTGACCGAAACTGCAGGACAAAAAGGCCGCTTTCCATACACAATGTGTAAATGTATGTAATACCAAGGTTGTGGACTCTATAGGTGTCAAAATTTTTATCTGATTTTCATGAGACTTAAAGTAGCTAAGTCTCTAACTCAATGTCAACCAAAGTCATACACATTGAAAATACAAACTATTTGTCAATTCAAATCAACATTCATGATCTTACCAGGAAAAGACAGGCTTCTGATATCCAATATTTAAGACAAAATAAACATTTTACCATTGGTACACGAATCGTGTACCATAGTGCGTTTTAGCGTCATTTGCAACAAGTGACCAGAAAGAACGAGGCTAGACATATTCAACAGGAGAACCTGCTCAATAGACTGGAATAACCAGACGCTAGAAACTGCTATAGGGTTGAGACACACTAGGTCGTATTTCGTTGGACATAACTGATTTGAAATTAAGAGTCAAAACGGAAACAATTGAATGTATCAGTTTATATACAATCAGATTACATTATTATATGCGGTGCGACCCATTTCAGTCAATTTCTAGGTCCCAAATATTAGCGATTTAGCTCCCAGAGATTTCGGTTCCTTTCAATATTCGCGCATATCAGAATTAATGAGAGTGTGAAATTAATGAATCATATGAATGAGGGCATGATGAAAATAATGAATGATATTTATGAGAGCATGGAATTAATCATTGATTTTAATGGAAGCATAAAATTAAAAAAATGATATCAATGAGAGCATGGAATTAATCTTTGATTTTAATGGAAGCATAAAATTAAAAAATGATATTAATTAGAGCATAAAATGACTGTGCTGATTCCATGCAGTGTATTACCATTCACATTTATTTCAATATTCACGTAGGCCTAGCCACCCGGTAAATCAGTGTTATGTAATTGTTTGGTGACCTTTAAATTACGAGATAAACATAACACTTTTTTTCCCAATTGACCTTATTGTTGTAATTTCAGTTGGGACAATGCATATGAAAGAGAACTGAAGAATTATAAAGAGATAGGTGATGTAGGAGAAATATGGTGAGTTATCTTTGATAACTTTTATCATGTGATTATTGTTTATGCTATCTCAGTGTTCAAAACTGCTCATTTTAAGTACATGTACATTGTATATATACACAATGAAAACACACCAATGATTTGACTGACTGTGCTGGATACCTATAATGCAGCTGAAATATGATTTTTGGCATGCTTGCAGACAGGACATTTACCAACACAACAAAGTTAAAAACAACCCACAAAGACTATAAAAACTTTACTTTACAGGGAAATGTTAGCACAAGGGGTGAAATCAAAAGTCAGTAACAGGGTTAGGTCAGAATAAAATTGGTTCAAAGGAAGGCTGTCTGGCACGCAACCGTGCAGAGCGTAGTCGACAATGAACAGTGTCAGAACCGATGAACACACTTAGACCCCTCACAGTAGCAGCAGTACGGAAAGCTAGCAGCATGCGCTCCTGCAGATGTTGTTGGATAATGTGTCGGTCATGTAGTGGAATTGTCAGTTGTTACCAGGCCTTGGCCGATCTCCAGTGAACCCAATGATTATGTCATTTATTTGGTATTCATGGTAAGAAATATATTTTTGGACAGGTCAAAATTAAGGAGGAGCGGCCATGGCAAATGCATTGATACTGCTATTTTTATACAACTCCTGTTCTTACCTAGTATGGTCACTGATAACATTGGTCATATAGGAGTGTTGTTTAGACTGTTAATGTCCATGGTATTTTTCAGGTTTGGAGAAGATAGTCAAGATAGAATAATACGTTGGTTAGATAGACAAGATGATATAAATATAAGAGATTCTATATTAGATATAGGTACTGGTAATGGTGTTATGTTGATAGAACTGGTAGGTGTATATATATATATATAGAAAGGAACAGACATCAAAACATTAGCATATTTACTATTTTGTAGTCAATTTTTTGTCCCCCCCCCCCACACACACCCTCCAACAATAGAGCTCTAATTGGGACCTTTTAACATTGAAATTTTTGGGTTGAAAAAACTACCTATCAATCTAATTTCTATACAAAAACATTATTCCGTAAATGCAAGGAACAAGTGAAAAGAATACATATAGTCCTGTTTCTATAGATTTTCAAAGGAAATGTCCAAACTCCACTAGACATAAAAGTATGTGACTAGAAAAATCATTAATTGGGATCCTGATAATGTCCTGTTATTATACATGTTGCATTTATAGTTGTAGAAAAACATGGGTCTATCTGATATAAGTTGACTTCAGAAGTCGAATACCAGACAGCTTTTCATACTGGACCTTTGTAAAACATTGAAGACATTTTCATTGCAGGCAAAGTGTGGCTTTACAGATTTAACTGGACTAGATTATTCACCCTCAGCTATTCAGCTGGCTAAAAATATAGCAGATTCGGAAAAAATTGGTTCTATTAATTATCATGTAAGTACTGATACCCACAGCTTCCCTGCAAATCTCTTCATTTAACTAAATTAACAGGTACGAATTATTGTGGAAAATGCTGTTGGTAATTAAAATATCATTGTTGACAGTAAAATGTTTTGCCTACATCATTGCCAACTTCCTATTAAATGACAAAGGAACTTTCTCATTAACATGTTATTTCATTGTAATTGTGACATATTTGTCTTAATTCAATAACATGACATTAGAGTTACCTCTCAAACAAACATATATTGGAGCCACTAACATGTTTCAACAGAGACAAAAGTTTGAATGCCACAATAATTGCCTGAAATTCTATGCAGAAAAAGAAGAAATATTTTGCTGACATTGTTAAAAACCTAGCATGCCTGTTTATGCCAACAGAATAACTTTGGAATTAATTTAATTTTGACTTACAGGTAGCAGACATGGCTCAGCCTATTACAACAGAAACCAATAATACAGCTTTAAAGAAGAAATATCAGATATGTGTTGATAAAGGAACATTTGATGCCATTAGTTTGATGGACACACAATATACAAAGGCTAGAGATGTCTATGTTCAAAATGTACACAAACTGTTAAATTCAGAGGGAATATTTGTAATAACATCTTGTAATTGGACAAAAGAACAACTCTTGGATATATTTGCATCAGGTAAGTTGGCAGATACATACACATGACCGACCTGGGAGACCAAGATTATGCTTTCAATAATCTTTAGAACTTTGAAAACTCAACATGAGGAAGATATATGCAAATCATGGTTCAATCAAAATGATATTGAGTTTTTCAAAAATGTAATAACTGTTACAAGAGAGAGAAAATGGATTAAGCGTTTACTCATCACAAACTAGGTCATTTTGGGACTAACATGGTATAATTTTATTTTAATAATTAACTTGCGCATAGAGGTCTTTAGAAGTGGGAAAAAACCCAGAGAAAACCCACAAAGTTAGGTAGCGACCCTCTGTACAATATTAGGATCGAAACCACAACACTTGACTCAGTGACAGACATTATGATCTCAACCCCTTTAAATATTGCTATCAAACCAAGATAAACATTGTGTATATAATTTAAATCATTTCTTTTCTGTAAAAATGTTTGTAAATGTAAACGTGAATTTCTTAAAGGATTGATTTTGATGACTGATATTTCAAATACAGTATTTGGTGATGTAGAAAAAGTAAGAACAATCAACCATAGGAATATGAGATATAACAATAGTTTGTGTCAATAAATAGTTCACATATTGGTGTTATTAAAGATACATTCTCACGAAAATATTTATAAGGTGGTTATTCCCAATAAAAGTATGGCAAATTTGGTCTATATATGGAAAGTATATATAGACACCAAATCTTACTATAAAAATACTGGATTATATGAAAAAAAAAAAAAAAACATGTGGCAAGCACTGGGCAAAATTGTCAGGGTATCACTATCTGGCAACCCAAAGGCTTATTGTCTGCCAGCTTGACTTAGGGAACGTTTGTTATTTCTTGATCGAATGGTTAGGCGGTTTTGGGAACACTGAGGGGTGTAAATGTATTACCCTCTGCAATTAAACGGCGGAAAAAGAAGTAATTCAAGAATTTATATTGGCAGAAAATAATTCAAGAATTTACATTGGCAGAAAATAATTCAAGAATTTACATTGGCAGAAAATAATTCAAGAATTTACTAAGGCCTCAATATGTATGGTAAATGGACAATAAGTAATGACATGCATTTTGAAAAATGGGCCTTCCCTCAATCAAGTTAGGTGACAAACATGGCTTCTAAAAATAGTATTTTTGTAGCTTGGGGTATCTCCTTGTGAATACAAAGTTTTGAGAGGGATTTGAAGCAAATTTTTGATAGATTAATTAGTTTGAATATGTTTTTACTCCAAATATGTCATCAAATCACAGTTTGTATGCAGGAAGGTATCTTTAACAAGTAATATTTTGGGAAAATTTCTAAAGATTTCTTCAAGATTATTATACCTGTTCCAGTAACACTTAAAGGTAACTTTCATTTTTTATTTCAGATTTCATTTTTTTTAAAGATATACCTACCCCAACATTTAAATTTGGTGGACAAGTGGGAAATAAAGTAACATCCTTGGTTTTAAAACCTTCCTAATGAAAGACTTCTATAGTGAGAAAAACATTTGTTGTCTATCTTTTAAAACATCGGTCAAAAAAACTTTTGGACATGAACTTGAGTGTGTATTTGCAATATCAAGAGTGGTTACCATTAAGAAGTTTCACTATCAAGACATCATCAAATTCAGTTAAATGTTAAAGCTCACTAAGATTATAGAAATGTATATAAACTGAAAACATTACAATTTAATCTGACAGAAACTTAATAAATGAGTTGTCCCTGGACTGAATTGATTTATATAATCTGTTCAACGCGAATGATACCAAATCAAGTTCTGGGGAAACTTTTTAAAACTGAAAGACAGTTTCACAGTTCTGTAGTAATGTGAAATCGTCATACAGCATCAGCGCTATTTGGGACCTACCTGTGGTGGCTCATTGAGTATGGGGCTGACTCACCAACCAGGAGTTCCGGGGTTCAGTCCCAGTTTTGTTCGAGAAAGTTCCCCAGGACTTTCAAGCATGGATTCTGCCAAGGACAGTGTCTAATCATTCTGATGGGACAAAAAACTCTAAGGTCATGTGCAGTGGCATGCATGTGAAAGAACCCTGACAGTTGAAATTTGACATAATAGTAGGCTGTGGCACTGCTGTCCGTGCAAAATTTCCATCATAGCACACTGTATGGCATACATGTCTTCATTACCCAGTCGGTGCAGAAGGGGTAAAAACCAGAAGCCAGTAACATGTATGGCTGCTCGAGCAGATTAGCCAATGGTAACATGTTGGGCTCAACCAGTGGGTCATCACCATCACACAAAAACTTGTTTGATGGGGTGACTATTCTATTATCAGAATAATACATAAACGGCTCATTAATCTAGTGACCATATTGACCAGTAGCTAAAGAAATTTTGACATAATGGCTATTATTACCATAATTACGATGACTTCTATGGTACACAAGATTAATTACGTCATTAGGTAATGATAGACACAGCCGTGAATAGAAAATAAATGGCCGTCACTAATATAGAATGTCTATTCAACTAATGTATTAATCAATCTGATTGTTGTATTAATGCAAAACTACTAATGCATTGTACTTATTCAACCCATTAAAATAAAAAGGAAATAGGTAAATGTCATCATGAACAGTTTGATGATGTTAACAACCATCCATCCTAGTCAGTAATATATTTGCTTGGCCGGCAAGGGATGACATCATTGCGAGTTAATTAGCTTTCAATATTAACTTTTTTCTTCTGCAAATTAAATTCCGAAACAATGTTTTTACGCAAATAGTTTTTCTTCAATATTCTGCTATACACTGGTTAATTGGTCCAATTTGGAGCTCTGTTTAAAGCCTAATGATATTGTTTCGCAATTAGCTATTGGTTGTAAATCAAACTATTGACCAGTCATAATTTGGAACAGAAATTTGCTTCCATTACAGCAGTGTTAAGTGGGATTAGCTGTAATCAAACGAAACACTGTGAGGAGTATGGAAAAAGATGAGATAACCCTTGTCGAAATGTCGCCAAAAATAAACCTTTTAAGTAACTTGTATTCCATATAATGGTGTCATTTGTCATTCATAGGGCTTGAGATGAGAAACAATAACAAAAGATATTTCACCACAAAACAACATTTATTCAATAACAGACAAAACCATACTCCTGTTTACTTCAAAACCTGGGCGTAACCTTCCACTTCATCATGTAGTAATTATTTACCGATTTTATAATCTTGAAACCTTTCCGAACTGATAATACAGTAGGAGTTATACCAGAAAAAAATATATATGACAGAAATTTAACATTATAAAGAACAGAGACGAACATTATCATATCTCTATGTTTTCTTATCTTAATAAAGATATCTGTAAATATTTTTTTTCTGTGTTAAATTTACCATCATATTAAAGATATTATAAAGACAAAACCTTTTAGAAAAACCGAACAGTGGAATAAATATATTTATATATGTAGTTTATATAGGTTTAATATATTTGTAAGACGTCACTATATACGGTACTATCCATTATCCCTAACACATTGGATCTAACTAATTTAAAAATCATAACTAATTGGATATTATTCATAAGAAATAATCCAATGGACCAAAGTGCATGATTAAATGAATTACAATTTATTATTAACTACATTGGGGAATATTTGTCCAGAAAGAAAAAGATCAAATCGTTTTAAAATTTTTAAATTTGTGTGTACCTTTATAGATTCAAGCACAATATCTTTCAAATTTAATTTAGTATCGATTCCTGGACATTTAATAGTCCATATCAAAGGTATAGATCTGTTTTCCTTTCATAATTCTGTCTTTTCTGGTAAATATTCCTTCATGATTTTGATGTCTCGAATAAGTCAATGAAATGTCTGCATTTACTATTTGATGACTCGATAAATTCAGATTTATTTTCCATTACTTTTTTCTCGAAGAGTTAACTTGTGCTTGACCACTGTTCTAATTATTGTCAAGCTTCATTTAGGACAACTATTAAAGTATTTTTGACACCAATTAAATGTATGTCTTAAAAAGACAAACTAAAAATGCCCAAAAAGTCTGAGTGAAGTTTAATTAACATTCCAATAAAATCAAATCTGATTAAAATACAGATCTACATTTTGTCTCGGTTTTTTTTTTTATACTTCTGATGGCCTACACTACATGAATATTTGACCAGCTGTAATTGAAGGTCGCGTCAGGTGTCATATAAGTGGATTTTGATCATACGACGTCAGACATTGATTAATCAATCAGAATTAACGTTCCTAGTGGTTTACCCAAAGTTCCTTGCACATCACGCCAAAAACTTGCCGTAACAGACCGTTTCATTGGCTAATCCCTCACATCATCCAGAATGCGGGTCATATAACAACTCTTCCAGTTCCTAGAGTCGTAAAGACAAGTAAAACGAAATTTTGAACTATAAAAAACGAAACAAAATAGGATCTGTGTTTTAATCCGATTGCAATAAAATAAAGCACTTGAAACTGAATGCACGAAATTCACATCCAAAACCGTTAGATCTTTGGTCTTTAGTAGATTCATTCTGTTAGTAAATCCAGACTATTTCACTGTCAAAAAATTTGTATTTTTTGTCAAAAATGAATTTTGATTCCAGAAGATGCAATGCACTTTGGTCAACATGACAAGTAATATCATAATGTGATTACATACCATAGATATACATTAGCAAAGTTATAGAGGCTTTTAGACTAATATAACACAAAGCAAGGAAAAATCATCAAATACCTAAAAAATATAATAAACCTTAGCAGCACACAAGGGTAGATAATTCACATGAGATTTGCCCCAAGTTAAAATGCTTGTTAAAAAAAGACTTTTCTAATTTCTGATGGCTAAACCATTAAATATTCTAAACATGAGTATAGAGAGAGTTTAACAAAATTACTCAGTGGCATATAACTAACCACTGTTGGGGAGTTCACGAGAGATAAATTGGGTTATTAAAAATTCTCAATAACATCCTTATAGTGCTCTAGCCTTGAAAGACAAGCACGATTAGATCTAGATCGTACCTGCCAATGCCAGGTAAAACTGTTGAAATTAAACCTACATGTACACTGATAATAATATAGATGTCAAACTTAATCAAACAAATAAATTTGAAACAATTCTCATGTGAATACCCCTCTCTTTTTTAAGAGTGTTATTAATTTGATATCCATTTTACAAATGAAAATATCATTCACAATACAATCCAAATTATTTTCATTGCCTTGCCTTTCTTAAAACATTTTTGCTTCTTGAAATAAATATTTATAAATGAAAAATCAAAAAAGTGTGCACTTACAGCCTTAGTAAAATAAAACAATACATATATCAAATACATGCCATACCAATTAACATTACTAACAATTAAAGTGTTAATATTTTATTTAAAGGAAATATCCAATCAAACACTTTTCTTCATTATCTTAAAATATAAACTCTTTATATCAAAAACAAATCGCTTCTGAAAGTCTAGTCATTTTAAAGGTTTTAATTCCTTGGAAGCATAATATTGTGAACGTTGAGTATCTAAATGGAATAGCAGTCCAAAATGGTTCAATTCCATTCAATTTGTTAACATTCGGTATCCACTGTAGACGATGTATAGGATATGGTCAAAACAAGCTACATGTACATTGATATGATTTAATTTTCTTAAATGAATGTTAATTCAATCAATTTTAGTCTGGATCAAGCCAAGAAAAATATAGATATTGTCCAAAAAATATATTTGTCAATCAGTGACTTGAACATTAGATACATATCAATTTGACTTCTAGTACAGTTTACATATTTGCGACCTTTAGAGATCAAGTGCAGAACTCATGTGAAGGGGTAGGAAGGATCTATTAGACACATTTGATATAAAGATTTTAGGTAATAAAATAATCAAAGATTGTGTTGTTAATTAAAGGTCAGTCCATTCCAGTAGAGATAGACTGTATACATTTCTTTTTCTCATTATTTGTTAACTTTCCTAAACAAGGAATGAACCCTAAAGGATAAAATACAGAGGTATTCCATTTAATAATAATCTAATATAAATCATCTTAATGTCTATAGCCAGTTTCTTATAAGTTGTAACCTGATTACAAGTAGTATTACTTAAAGGACAATATTGTTGTCAGTCATTATCACATATGTGATAGAACTGGTTAAATACATTCCAAATATAATTTTAACACAGGTATCATTGCTACGATAGATGTGTAACTAAGATTTCAAGAAATTATCAGTGAGCAGAAATTCGGCCATGTATCTGTTACCACTTGTTCCTTCAGTCGGTTATATAGAAGGATAACTCTTGTTTTCCATTTTTTTGCTCACTTCCAGTTCTTCAAATCTTTGTTATGCAATGATCTCTGTGTTAAAATTATATTTGGAACATGATTAACCAGTTCCATCACATATGCGATAATGGCCAACACCAATATTGTTCTTTAATACAATATGACTTAACTATTTTTCAATACAACAATGCTCTGCAGCAAATAAATATATTTCAACCTAATTACTGACCTAATTTTTGAAATCATTCTACATTCCCATGTTCTCTGAGTAACCAGAAAATATTCTCCTCACCTAAAGGTAGGTAGGTTCTGTGTTGATCCTGACCAAATGTGTAGAACTGTCTATCACACTGGATTGGAACTGAGGAATTTCGTAAAAAATCTAACGACACACAGAGCACAGGGAACGTAGAATAACGTATAGTTAGCAATAAAATACATAGAATAACAAGAATGTATACATGCAAGTGTATTCTTATAGATAATCAAATTACATCAATTATTCAAAATAAAGGTGAAAAAAAGTTCTTACTAATATAATATACATGGACTAACCAGATTGATAAAACTAAAATAGTTCATGCTCTTTTTTTTTTTTAAAAGAAATCAGCTCAGTTCAGAGTTTGAACCTTATATTAATAATTCTGGAATTAAACTCTATATTGTGCGCTACTAATGAAAGTGCAGTGTCTTTTATTGTGTTCAGTGCAAGGAACTAGCATTTTGGCAAAATGTTAAACACATTTGTGTAGCAGAGACACTTTAAATTTATTTCCAGTAAGAAATATTATCAACGTTTGGTTCAAGCTTTTATCATCTAATAAAGACATTTTAGCATGCACAATTTAGAAACCTTGTGCTCAAAAAATACAGAATCTGACTTCCAATAATGCTTTTCAAAAATGAAAACATCCTTAAAAACTACTGGATTGTTCGAAAAGTATTTTCATTTTTGATAAGCATTTTTGCATGTCTTCATAAACATATTTATACATGACATTTTAATAAAGGCATTTAAAACTTATACAAAGACTTACTTATCGTAATAATCATTACAATAATATTAAATCATGCTCACAATTAGAAAAGACATTACATATTTTTGAAGGGGTTAAGAGAATACCGGACCAGATAGTTTGATAACAGAGAACATATCCGATTTCAGTACCAAAGGTTGTTCATATATCTGCTAAATATTCTATTCATTTTTGAAAAACCTCAATGAGAACATTAAATGAATATTTCCGGTATCGCACCAACCCTTCCAATCAAAGTCAAAAATCATGCTTTCAAAATAAATTTTTTATTAAAACTTAATTTAACCTACGTCATACCACAAAAGTAAGGCTAATAAATTCATGCTCATGTTGTATTTCTCAATAACTATTTTCCCCTTGATATACAAGTGTTATATGAATGGGGAAATATCATGCCTTTGGTGCACTATGTGGCGTAGTTCAATTAAATTAAAACTGTTTAGCCAAGCACAAAATATAAATTGAAAATTATCTTTAACATAAATCATAATTTAACACTTGAAAGATTAAGATCTTTTCATTCTAAACATAAAGTTTACTTATATTAATCTTTTAATAATTATAATATCATAATAAACTAGTTATAAATTTACGCTTATTTGTTATATAATCATACTAATGACATCAAAAAACCATGAATAGGATATAATTGTTTTATTTGGGGAGAAAATAAACAGGACTTAATTCTAAAAAATTACTGATCAATGTAAACAATGAGCTTTAACTTCAAGAATAAAACCTGTGAATTTTTCTAAATAAGTTTACTTACTATACAATTTAATATCAATAATAATTCAATTCATCAATTTTTAAAACATTTATCAAACCTTTATAGTAACTCGACCTTTGAGTTCCCTCAGTTTTTTTTTACCATTTTTTTTTTAAATATTTTTATCAAGTCACAAAAAAGCCCAAAACTGCTTTTTAAGACGTAACTATACTATACCAACAATTTTATTAATTACTTATTTCATTCATTAGTATTACATTAATTAATCACCACAAAAAAAAAAAGAAAAAAAAGATTGTTTAGAACTAAAACATTTAATTATTATATATATCAACTCATTATAATAAACATGTCAATCTAATTGTGAAAAGAGTAACGACGTCTTATATGCCAGTATTTAAACTGCAAAGCATCCTTACAGAACAAAGTCAACGTGGAACTTGTTCATTAGAAAGTTATCAACCAAATACATTGGTGATTTATATATTTTTATCTACCTTGATGTAACGCACAAGTTCTTATTTTAAAGAATTCTTTGGCCTCTCTCAATAATTATAACACACCTATCGACTTGGTTGTTTAACCCAAGGATGAAGTTACACATAAAAAAAGAGTTTTTCATAATTCCCTTCACTTATTACAGATTTTTTGTGTTTTTTCCTATCGTCTTACAATTCCTTTTGTTGCATTTCATATTTGCAAAGTTTTTTAAAAGATGCTTTCAAACTTTAAATTATAAAGAGGGTTTTTTTTCCTAACATAGATTTTGTTCTCTTAATTATACTCTTTACTTTCCTTCCTTAATTCTTTACAAGAATTCAAACTTATATCTTTTTTCTTTAATATAACACAGTAGAATCTATTCATTATGTATACAATCACATATTGTCTCCTTGAATTTGGAAACATAACATTTCAATTCTGCTATCTTCGTCATTAAAGTTATGCACTGACCGGGGTCAATTACAAAACCCGATCATTTCAATTACAGCAATTACTGGTAGATAAGATGGCAATAAATCAAGTATCTTTACAAATTATAATATTCTCTATATCCAATGATTTTAAAAGAAGAGCTTCTATTATCTCCAATTCAAACTTTGGATATTTGTACTAAACATTGTGACTTTGGAGATATAAATTCTACATAACTGTTTAGTTTTATTCACTCTGGCAAAAGTTCTCCTTTTAAATCCGCTTAAAAATATATGTATCTCTATCATTCATTAATAATCTTAATTACTAAACTACTTTACTCTATCATATCTATGATCTTTTTGTTTTTAAATAAATGAATAACTATATGCATAAAGTATGTTAAGTCTTACTGAAACTCTTAGAACACAATAATTACAAAGCCAGATCAATGTTTCAACAAAAATGATACTTGCTCATAGAAACTTGTTAATGATTCTAAAAATAAATGCTGATAAGTTAGTAAATAAATGACGATAGATCCACACAAATTGAAATTCTTAATTCTTCCTTTTTTATTCAAGACTTGCTGCCCAAAACCATTCCATCACTTTCTGTGTACCTGCCCAATATTTTTTGATGGTGTTATAATAACAAAAACAAATATGAAATGTACAAAAATATACATTTCTCATTTTATTTACCATTTAATAAAAAATCTGTCAAAAATATATCAAGCATACATTCTCCCTCATACATACATAAGTTCATTGTTGACAGGTGGCTTCACCATTTAATTCTTCTTTGGCATCCAAATGAAGGATCACAACTTGATAGCACGGCATGATGCCCACACACATGATGTCATAACACTGACAACATATTAAATGTAAATGCATATAACGGCAATGTTTTCACTAGACTAATGTCACTTTCATTAGTTTATGTAGCACTTATATAAAGTTGTTTTCACCGAGCAATACAATATAAATAATGCCCTTAAAAACAACGGATGACTTTTTTTTATCGAGCACTTTTATAATTAAATGTCTTCGATCAATTTAATATCCTTGGTCATTTAGCGTCTTTTGTTTTGTATTATTAACAAGATATCACACTTTGTCGCCCGTCGTCAAAAATTGTATGTGTTCGAAACACTTTGACAACAAATAGAAAACTAGTTGTGTTGTTCACAGCTACACATTAAGAGTTATCCTCCTTTCTTCTGGAAGCCATTTTATTCAGAATCTAAGATGTAAGATTTGGCTGGGATGAATTGTCTAGTTACATGTATAACAACAAACAAAGGGGCTATTAAGACACCACTTTTCTACTAAACTAACACAGCTTCAGGGTTTGAGGGTTGGTTTTTTTTTCAATTTGTGAAATAAGATAATTTTCAAGGGTTTGTGTTCCCTTATGACTCATAACATGAGACTCAGAATTTTGTGTATAAATAATAAAACAATCATAAACATAACAACCATAGGTCTCTGTCTGAATTTTAGGTGTTACTGGCTATCAACTTCTATTAATGCACTTATCGTCAAGTAAACAAATCAAATCGTACAATATGGATCGAGGACACAATGGGCCTAAATTGACTAGGTCTGATCAATTACCTAGTTAGTATATGACCTGGTCAATGCTCATGTGGTGGGGTGGGGGTATCATTGACTAAATTTATTGAATAATAGAATAGCTTATTTGAGCGTTTTTAATTGTATATTTCTAAAATGTTGATAGCCAATATAGAATCTGATTAAATGATTAAGAAAGAAATTTTGGTCGATTTGAGACTTCATCAGAAAAATTTAAGCAAGGTCATTAAATTGAGCTCCAGCTGCCTCTCCAGGTTTGTCAAAAGTATCCTCAGAACTAAATTTATTAATAGCTCCAGTAGCCTCATCAGCATCTGAGAAAACTCCAATTGTATCCTCAGTTATTCCAACAATATCTTCAGTTGCTGCTCCCTCATCTTCTGCTGCTCCATTCTCACTAAAATAAAACAGGTCATTAAATATACCAGAGGCTCAGTGCGGTGGGGTGTCCCCAATAAACGTCGTCAAACGTTGCCATGACGATTGACGGATGTAAGCAATATACCACAACATTTCCATGTGGGAGTATAAAAAAGCTGATCATTTCATCTGAACCCCATGATCATTAGCAAATTAACAATATATACAAACAATCAGATGATAAATGTAGTCTGTAGAGAGTGTTCACAAGAAATTGTGGACGACGGACGGATGTAGGTAATATACTACGACCATTCCATATGGGAGTATAAAAAAGCTGATCATTTCACCTGAACCCCATGATCATAACCAAGTTAACAATATATACAAGGCATAATTATCACATCAAAAAGAAAACCTACTCATTAGAAACATCAACTGTGACCCCACGACCTTTTGGTGTGTGTTTGGCTGGTTTGCCTTTAGCAGCTCTAGCTCTATATTTAATGGCAGGTCTTCTGACAGGACGTGTCATACGTGGATACCCTCTTGGTGCTGGTGGACCTTCATAGAAATCATATCCTCTTTGGTTTTCATAATATTCATAATACTGAAAACAATAATTTAGTGTGTAAACATTTATTGCATTTTGAAATTCTCTATACAACAAATAAAGACCAAAAATAATAAAATATTACTGTGTTTTGTTCTTATGATTACTGCATAATATGTTCTTATTGTGGTTATTACAAAATTACTGCAATGATCTCGTACTTATTGCTGAATTTCTGAAATTTTATTGGTATTAAAGAATTTTTGTATGGTTGTTAGAGAATTACTAATTACTGTAATGTTCATATCTTTATCAGAGAATTACTACTAGGTTCTCATTGGTATTACAGAATTACTATTTGGTTCTTGAATTAATGAAGAATTACTATAATTGTTTTTGGATTATCTGATAATTACTGCAATACTCTTTTTGGTATTTGAGAATCACTAAAATGTTCTAACATATGTTTATTGGAGAATTACTGCAAGATTCTTATGGTTATTGCAGAGTTACTGCAATGTTCTGATGGGGTTAGATCTATTTGATAAGGCCAACTTCAAGTTTGGTCAAAGGTCACGAGATGTAAACAGGGATAGTGCTAATCCCAACCCTAACCCTAGCCATAATGCTTACCCTAAGCCTAACCTACAATCTCGCCAACAATCAGGTGCCCTAACCTTATTTACATCTCAGCAACCTTGACGAAAATTGAGCTGGCCATAACAAATAGATTTAGCCGTTCTGATGGGTATTTCAGAATTACTATACGTGTTCCTCGAAATGTAATTTAATGTTCTACTTTTCTGTAGTATTCTTGGGTTGTCAGACAATTACTATATTGTTCTCATCATTATTGCATACATCAATGTTCAAACTGATAGCTACCCTAACATTTTCAGCACATATTATCTTTTTTACTGTCTATTTCAGGGAATATGATGTATTTTTCTCTATTCAAAGTAAATAAATGAATCTGTATAAACTACAACAATACCTGTGGTCTGTAACCTCTAGCAGCATACAGAGATGGTCGTCCTCTTATTGGACGGTTTGGCAAATAACCCCTGAAATCAATAACGTTGAAGTTGAAATTTATGTTTCAAGTAGGGCTGCATCGATTCATCAATGAACTGTGATGTTATATGATACAATCAATGTCCGTATCGCGAATCATTATCCAAATAATCATTTCACAAAAATAGACTGATATTCCTTTAAATAAGTTCATGAGCAAAATAATTTATTTTACTTTCATTAAGGCGTTTTCGACACATTAAGTGGCTTATTATAGCTATTTCGTCAAAATCAAAATATCAGTCTGGTTAAGCAAGTCGTGCTGGAAATTAAGTTGCGTTCAAATTACACACTTGAATAATATCCGGAAAAAAACATACAACATATTAATATATATATATCCGTCAGTAAAATGCCATTTGTGATAATATTACTGTATAAGAATGGCGATTTGTACATACTGCATATTTTGATCAGCACATATTTTCAATGTATATTAATATTTGATATTAAAATCTTCGTAACATTATTTCCTTTGCTGTTCTGTAATCTATGACTGACCTGACAACGAGAAAGCTTTTCATTGGCTGAAATTGTTGTGGCAATACGAGCCAGCCAGCTGAAATGTTTTCATAATTAATTTACCAAATTCAAGTCGCACGATCAACAAAAGCCATACTGAGATCGAAATTCCCACATACCAAGCATGTAAGTCACAAGTAAAGTATGGGAGTCTTTTTTAGGATTTCCAGTTAAGCATGACAGCAATGAAATCTGGTCAGTTGACCAAGAAATCACCACATTAGTAAATCATAAAAGTAGGCCTTCGAATTTTCACAGTGAAAGACTTTCAAAATTTAACAGCATTTCTTAAATTTATTTCCTATATGGCGATATTAATCATATCGTAGACTATGAATCATGATGTGCATCGTATCAAGACCTGGCGTATCATTGCAGTCCTAGTTTCAAGGGTAGAAAATTTTGAAAGATGGGTTGCCAGGACATAAAACATGTAGTTTCATCAATACAGAGACACATCTACCCTTCCTATAGACCGCAAGCTTTCAGTGACATATGGTAATGTTTTTCTAAATAGTATCAACTTATAACTAACCTGCGAGGTCCACCCACTGACATTATTTGTGGGGAGGGACCACCTGAACGTCCTCGTCTTTGGCCAGACACATTAGCTCCCCAACTTCCTACAACAACTCCAGCAATTTCTAACTGTCCACCTCTAGCATCTACTGGTGAACGACCTAAAAATAATAGTAAGTAGATAAGAACAACTGTTTATGCTAGAGTGTTCACAAGATTCTACAAATTAAGCAAGGATTATAACTAAAAAAGTATTAATGAAAATTGGTGAAATTAAAAGATACGTTCCCAGAGAAGTATTTATTGGGTGATTATTTCCAATAAAAGTATGGCAATTTTGGTATATATGGAAAATAGTAAAAATATCCAATCTGACTAGAAAAATACTAAGATTCCCTGAAAAACACTCATGGAGTGCATAAGGGTTTCCCTAATCAGCAGCCCGATGATTAGGGATGTCTGCTCGTGTGATGTCAAAGGTTACACACAGAGATTGAGCGTTTCATGTACATGTTGATAAACTTTATGAAGAGTTAGACATACAACACTTTCTGAGAAAAAGAAGTGGGCAGTGGATAATCCGAGAATTTAATTAGGCTCCGATATTTATGAATAATGGATAGTGCTTAAAGACAACACCATCTTGTGTATGCAATGAATTCTCCTCCGACCTCGCATCCGTTTTGAGAAGGATTTGAAACAAAATTTTGATAGATTAATCACTTTGAATATGTCTTTAGTCCAAATACATCATCAAATCATCTAGTTTGTACATGGAAACTATCTTTAATAGGCTTCCTCGATTCATTACATTGAATAATGAAGACAACAGATGAGAATACTTTTGTTGTTACAGAATTCACAAGATTGTACAATGTGATAAAAGGCAATCACTCAATAGGTTCTTCATTAATGTAAGTATTGTATATAAAATTTTAAAAAGATTAGATGTGGAAAAAAAAGCCTGTAGTGTGTTCACAAGAAATTACAATGCCAGCTTGTATAAAAATAAGACACTGAAGCAATAGGTACATTTATTAATTACAACCATCTACCGAACCAATTTCTGTAATTTCGGAACACAGCCACAAGAAAATACTAAACTTACCTAGTAATCCTCTTCCTCGACCTGGAGACCTTTGAGGCGGAGAGGAAGGGGAGTAACCTGGTTGTCCACCAATTAATGGGTGGGGGTAACCACCTCGACCATAGGGCATTCTTGGAGCACCTGCTGGGCGGTAGTTGACAGGACCACCCTGGGGGAAGGGAGGGTAACCTTGGTATGGAGCTTGAGAATATGGATTATACATAGATGCTGGAAGAAGGGGTTTGGCAAATTCTGCACGGATATTTTCTAAGATGGCTTGACGCATTCTTTCAACTCGTAACACTTGATCAACCTGTTAACAGAAGGTAAATAACAACATTTTAATAGTCACCCTAATAATAATAATTATTGGCTATTATATTACAAATTTAAAATTGTAATAGTCACCTTAATAATAATTATTAGCTATTATATTACAAATTTAAAATTGTAATAGTCACCTTAATAATAATTATTAGCTATTATATTACAAATTTAAAATTGTAATAGTCACCTTAATAATAATTATTAGCTATTATCTTAATAATAATCATTAGCTATTATATTACCAATTTAAAACTGTAATAGTCATCTGAATAAGAGAGAGAGAGAGAGAGATATGGGGTCTACATCCACTCGACACAAACTAGGTCATTTCGAGACTAACATATAATTCAATTTTAGCAGTGGGAGGAAACCGGAGGACCTGGAGAAAACCCACAAGGCTGGAGAGTCACGTACAACCGGGGAATCAAAACCACACAAGTTGACTCAATGACAGACTTTATGATACAGTGCCCACGCACCAACCATTTGGCCATCAAACCCCTCTCATCTTAATAATAATCATTAGCTATTATAATACCACTCTAATAGTCATCTTAATAATAACTATTAGCTATCATATTACCTATCTAAAATTGTCATAGTCATCTTAATGATAATATTAGTTATTATATTGGAACTTACGATTTCCAAATTGCTATTAATTAACAGATTGTAATTCTATAACCAAACGTCATAATTATTTTATTGTAGTTCTCCAACATAAAAAATATCAATGACTTTAATATAGATTTCTAACAGAAGATATTTCAAAGAATGTTAATGAAGCTAATGGGACATTTCTCAATCATTGTCTACCGATCTGTCAATGCAATTAAATCTGATCAAATAGATCCCTGTACAATAATCAATATTAGAAATATATTGTTCATACCTGTCCATCACACATATCAATAAGTGGAGTGTTGTTATTGGCTTTTAGAAGTTTAAAATGGAACAATTTTCCATCAAAAAACAGCCATGGGCAACTCATGCTCCATGGTATTGGAGCACCACAAACATCATTAGCAAAGATAGCCGTCTCTACACCAGACATGAAGAGGGAAGCTAGCTGAATACCTCTTGGATGTATAGCAGGTAACTGTAATATAATAATTCTCATTCTTATATTGAAATCAACAAAACATTTATATAAATGCACATACATATTGTCATTTCAATATGGAAGTTTCAACAAAATTTGTAATCTAAAAAACCTAAAAAAAAAAAATGGAAAGTGATAATAGGTGTTTTAATATTTCTCAAGCATAATTAACAAGCTTAATAAAATGAAGATGAAGCACAAACAGAAATGAGAATCGACAGAACCAATTACTACTAAAAACAAGATGACTAGTCATCAACATCCCGCGCCCTTGCACTTGTTTGGAAGAAATAAGGAAAAATAACTTGTTTATGCTATTGGTAATCAATATAAAAATGTATCAGATTTCGCAAACAGTGTCACTGGTCCTAATATTGTGGCCCTGTTTAGTAGATATTGCTCTCTATTTCTGAAAACTAATGACTGATTTTTATTTACTAGAAGATTTGAGATAATTTATGACATTAAGCTCTGGTTTTAAAAATTAGACATGACTACATAGAAAATAGAGATATTTTGCAAGTGGAGGGAACTGGAGCTTTAGACAAATCTCATATTCCGACACATGGAATATCAATTCAAAGAATTTCATACTCTGATCACAGTAGCTCGGCAAGGCAGGGTCGCTACTCTCTGTAAGGTTTGCACAACAACCTTTGCCTACCTCAATTAGCTGCTGTATGTTAAACAATAAACTTATACATCAGAAAATAAAATACTATAATAGGTTAATGTTTGTACAAAGTTTCAAAAAGATATCTTGAACAGATAATAAAATATGCTCCAGAAACAAAATCAGGATGGAAGGCTGGATTTCAGAAAATAAAATAATGGGTAAAATTATTTTAAAGGTATCTTGAACAGTCAAATGTGTTTCCATGGAAACACATAAAATTATCAAATCTGAGAAATTCAAAATAAGTGCCATGAAGATATCTTGAACGATTTATGAGATATGCTCCAGAAACAAAATTGTACACCAAAAACTAAGTAAAATTTGTTTCCATGGAAACACACAAAATATCAATCCCAGAAATTCCTAAATAGCAAAAGGCACAACTACTGTAATAGGTTGATGTGTGTGCAAAGTTTCAGAAAGATATCTTGAACGGTTTATGAGATATGCTCCGGAAACAAAATTGTACACCAAAAACTAAGTCAAATGTGTTTCCATGGAAACACAAAAAATATAAATCCCAGAAATTCCTAAATAGCAAAAGGCACAACTATTGTAATAGGTTGATGTGTGTGCAAAGTTTCAGAAAGATATCTTGAACGGTTTATGAGATGTGCTCCGGAAACAAAATTATACACCAAAAACTAAGTCAAATTTGTTTCCATGGAAACACAAAAAATGTAAATCTCAGAAATTCCTAAATAGCAAAAGGCACAACTACTGTAATAGGTTGATGTGTGTGCAAAGTTTCAGAAAGATATCTTGAACGGTTTATGAGATATGCTCCGGAAACAAAATTATACACTAAAAACTAAGTCAAATTTGTTTCCATGGAAACACAAAAAATATAAATCCCAGAAATTCCTAAATAGCAAAAGGCACAACTACTGTAATAGTTTGATGTGTGTGCTAAGTTTCAGAAAGATATCTTGAACGGTTTATGAGATATGCTTCGTTCGGCGCAGAAATTCCTAAATAGCAAAAGGCACAACTACTGTAATAGGTTGATGTGTGTGCAAAGTTTCAGAAAGATATCTTGAACAGTTTATGAGATATGCTCCGGAAACAAAATTATACACCAAAAACTAAGTCATTTTTGTTTCCATGGAAACACAAAAAAATATAAATCCCAGAAATTCCTAAATAGCAAAAGGCACAACTACTGTAATAGGTTGATATGTGTGCAAAGTTTCAGAAAGATATCTTAAACGGTTTATGAGATATGCTTCGTTCGGCGCGGGATAATAAAGGCAAGATGTCCTAATCAATAATCTCTAATAAATCTATCATTGTATCAACTTTTGAAGTATATATATCCATTAATTTATGAGCAATATCCATTATAATTATCCACAACAGTACAAGTTATTCAACTCGTTAAACTTACTATATCTGCTTCATAGAATTATATTGTTACAAAGTTCTTTGTTGATCACCTTTTGATGGTAATTATCCCTATGATCAAATTTTTTGACACACATCTAAGGAAACAATTGTTTCCATATAACATAGGGTTGCCAGGCTTGTAGTATACTTCCACAAGCAGCATTTTGAAAGCGCCATAACTGCACTTAAATTAAATTTGTGGCTCTGAATTTCAATAGGATTCCTCTTTAAGACCAGCTGAAATTTGATATGGTGCAACCCTGAATTTAGATAGAGGTCCTCTGTAGGACTAGATTAACAAACTCAGCCAGTTTAAAAAGCAATCTCAAAAACTCTTGAACTGTATTTTCAAAGTTTTAGTGACAAGAGCAAGAGAAAAATTGTGGGGCAACACTGAATTCCTATCAAGTTCCTCTTCAGAAATAATCCCACACAAAAAATAGGTTTATAAAAAATCAAGTTATATAAGGACTAAACCTACTTTTAAATCCTGCATGGTCTGTACATCAACTAATAGTGGTGAAACAGCCATTGCTAGGAAAGCATCTAATTCTTGTCTCTGTAGTACTCGGCCAAACTGAACAATATACCTGAATAGAAATATACCAACCTACAGCAATAACCGCGTTTAACGGTTAAAAATATTACAATTTTAAATATATGCATATATTACACCTGCTATTTTCAAACAATATATAACTGTTTTTCTAACGGGCAATAATAAATGAGGCTAATTTGATTTTTTTTAGAGCCATAGAAATATATTATTCTGTTTTGAACCATGATGGTCTAACCAAAAATCTGCCCTTTACTGATTTTTTGTCCAGAAACAAAGTATGCCTCTGACAGTAAATCATCAACAAAGGATTCAGATTTATAAATTATCTTATTTTTTGAAAATACTTTGAGATCGCTTTTCTAAGAAAACAAATATGAAGCCCCCAATTCAGAGCTCGAAATTTTCCCCATGTCAGTGACAAGTGTTACGTCTGACTATATTTACTTAGCGTTCAATAAACGGACTTCAGGCAAAAATACTCACATATCATGTCATGCATATATTTATTTAATCCTTTCCAAAATGGTTGTGATGTGTAAGAATTAACCACGAATAAATACTTCGAAAAGTTGCAATTTGCATTGTTTACAGGGGCTCGAAAACACTTGTTATACATTATAAGGCCTGTTATCTATCCCATCCTCATTAGCCCAGTCTGACCAAAACACTAGGATGTTAAACCCCATTTCATTTAATTCTATGCCAGTTATGTTTGACCTCTGGTTTATATATGATAAGGAGTAAGGTCACCTGCTGACCTTGTGGGTTTTCTCCTGCCACTCTAGTTGATTGAAATAAAATTATAACAGGTTAGTCGCCAAATGACCTAGTTAGTGTTCGGTAGGCATTTTTTTAATTTCCATTTCTCAATTTCTCGCCTTTCATGTATGATTCTGATTTGCTATAACATTGGCTTTTTAAGAAATGAAATGAAATGGGGTTTAACGTCCTACTGTTCTGCTCCTAACCTGGGCTAATGAAGACGGGCATACCCCATACAGTGTGCTATGAAGGAAATTTTGCCCTGGCAGCGGCGCTACGGCCTACTCTTATATCGAATTCCAACTGCCAAGGGATCTTTTACGTGCACGCCAATGTGTACACGGGACCTCGGTTTATCGTCTCATCCGAACGACTAGACAGCTGTCCTTGTCAGGCCCTTCGTTCTGCATCACTGACAAGGGGAAACCACGCCGGAAAATCGGGGATGAACTTTCTTGACCAATGCAGGGATCGAACACCTGACCTCCAGGCTAGCGAGCCAGCGTCTTACCCACGTGATCCCCCGGCTTTTTAAGAACTGATTGCTTCTTACCTTAGAACACAGCACATGACTAGTAAAGGCTGTGGAACATAGTTTGTATTAAACATCAGAGGTGAATCACTCTGCATACATGTCAAGAAAGCTCGCAAACGACGGTTTTTATCATCAGCATTCTGTCCAAGCCACATACGCTCAATACTAGGAGTCTTCCAATCCACAGGTTTGGCAATGACAAGTTCAAAGCTGGGTCTGGTTGTCCCTCGTCTAATAACCCACTCTTTCACTGGTATATCAAAACATTTACCATCTCCTATACAAACATACAAGATATATATAACAAACATCAAAACTTTTACTTATGGTCAATGTCCACCAACTTCAATATACTAGAAATAGGGAGAGAGAGAGAAATGAAGTTTAACATGACTAATACATGGCATCAATTTTATATCAATAATATGCTTGCACTTAGTGGTCTTCATCTGTGGCAGGAAACAGGAGGACCCAGAGAAAACGAACATGGTTGGACCGGCAACCTTACTGTCAAGTACAAGCAGGGAATTGAAACCATGCCACTTGACTCAATGACAGACCTTGTGATCTAACAAGCACACGTTACACCATTTGGCAACCCACCCACCCTGCTAGAAAAAGAAATCGCACCTTTAAAATAGAAGTGAACGGCAGTTCCATCTATCCATTTCTTGAAGCATGAAGCAGAGCATTACAAAAAAACCTATATCTGTACCGTTGTCATTTAATCCTGCACCACTGACAAGGGGAAACCAGGCTGGAAAATTGTGCTGACAAGTTCTGCAGGATTTGCACTAAATTTACAGCATTGTTTTTTCCAGCTTCTAGTCATTCATATGGGACGAAATAATTGAGGTCCTGTGTTCACATTACATAAAAGAACCCTTGACAGTTGAAAACCGATTGCTCTCTGATTAAAGTTTCGTTCATAGCACACTATAGTGTAAACCTGTCCGGTGCAGAAAAGAAGAAGTATTCAATTATGCAAGCCCAAAATGGTTGTGATGTAATAGATCAAATATCTCACCCTTTTCTTTGTCCGATGTTTCATGTATAATCTTTGTCTTATTTAAATTAAAAAGAACAGAATAAACTGTCTGTCTAATTGGACGATATAAATCTATATATGACGGCAATTCACGATTGGTATCATCTTCAAGGACAACTGGTAGCTTGAGTTCTCCCTGTAATATACAATAATAGGGATTAGTGAATTATAAAATATATATTTCAATTAAAACAACTGTTAATTCAAGTAAAAACATCATTTGAAAAACAGGACTTGATATAGGAACAGAAGTATTAAGATCAGGTCAGACTTATTCATGTGAACCTGTATGCAAGTGGTGGCTATTTGAAATAGCATCGAGTCACAGAAAATCATTCATCCACGTATTGATACTCAATGTAGGTGGTTTATTGATTTAATTAAGGTTAGGATGGATGGTACTAATTTTCATGTTGCAGAGTTAGTGCTTCTTCAGCAATTTAACTTCATATAGTTCTCTAATTTATTGAATCACTAAACAAACACCATGGAATCGACCAGCAGCTCTGCATTCATCCAAAAATCCATTAATGTAATGTTAAAATTGATCATCGTGCCTTTGTTTATTATTGTAGCAATCATACTTGACAATCAAGACTATTTACACTATATCTTGTCAAAATTTCAAATACTCCCAACTTTGCTCAGAATTTTGAACTATTATAGCAAGAAGGACCAGCTCTTTATTTATATCTTACATAAAATCGAGAATTCAACTATTTAAACTAACCTGTGATAAGAGTTGATAAATCCATGAACACATCAAACCCTTCTGATGTCTTTCACTGGCTATACGTATTATTTCAGGTGTAACTGTAGGTAATTTAGGTCCTGTGGGTTTTTTAGATTTGGATATATTATTATAAGTAGACATTAAGGGTGCAGAAGCATCACCTGAAAAAGATTAATAGACAGACATTATACAAAACTTATCTTATATAATATACAGTGAAAGCAAAGCTAAAGATCGAATATACACCCACTGGCAGTTTTTTTTTGAAGATTTTCTTTAAACTCTTCAAGTTATCAGGGACTATCACTATGCACAGAAATGTTGAGTGGGGATCTGATTAGCCAAAGAATCACACTAAGTTTGAACCAGCGTTTGCGAGACAAGATACAACCACATTTTGCAAGAGATGGATAGAGAACAAGCTAAAAACAAATGAGATTTTTCGTATAATCAGGGGTCATAATCCAGAAAGTTATGGTCTGAAATGCACAAATATTGAAAGGGTCTGAGATCTTTCAGATGTAAAGATATATTTGAAGTTTCATCAAAATCGGATAAAAATTGTGACATCTAGAGGGTCCACAACCTCTGTATTACATACTTTTACACAATTTGCGTACTAAGAGGGGCCATTTGGTTGGGCAGTTTCAATTAGATCGTCCTGAAATTCTAATTCAACCTTCCTTATGGTGAAATAGTGATACATTTAAACTGTTTTTAAAATCCGATAAAAATTATGACCTCTAGAGAATGTGCAAGCTAAAGAACACAATTTTTCGTACAATCAGTGGCCATAATCCAGGAAGTTACAGTCTGATATGCGCAAATATTGAAAGGAACCAAGGATCCGAAATACGCGAATATCGAAAGGAACTAAGATCTTTGGGGTATAAACATGCATTTCAAGTTTCATCAAAATCAGATGAAAACTGTGACCACTAGAGTGTCCACAAGCTAAAAATGTGATTTTTTTGTACAATCAGGTGCTATAATCCATGAAGTTTTGGAACTGAGATCGTTAAAATCGGATAAAAATTGTGACCTGTAGGGTGTCCACAAACAAATTGTGGACAATGGTAAAATACGTCCACATGAAAATGTGGGCGTATAAAAAACAATCTCAAAAACTCTGACAAGGTTTCAGTGACAAGAAAAACTGTGTGTTCATTTGATGCAGAACTCTGAATGAGTTCTTCCTTAGAACTAGCAAAACAATCCCAGCAGTTAGAACAAAGAATCTCATACTCTTGACCTGCAAAGTGTTAACAAGGTTTCAGTAACAGGGTCAATAACTGTGCTTAAAATTGATGTCCGACATTGAATTTGGATTCTTCTTCGTAACGAGTCAAACCACATAATTGGACCGAGATAAACTCTACTATTAAGTAGATGACCATGTCTAAACATTAGGTTGAATTATAGATATTGTGATGGCAGATTGGGAATAGAGTTAATGATTAGAATATAAAGGTCCCAATTCTTTGGAATACAATTATTGCTTAAGAGCGACGTTTCAACTAGGCTTCTCTAGTATATATCAAGCAGTAATTGTTTTCAATAGAATTGTGACCTGTATATTCCAGTTAAAAACTGTGGAGAACTTTGCAGTTTGGGATGAGACTATAAGAGTATATGGTGTCTAATGAGACTATACCTGCGCTTGGGTGTGAATTTCTATTATCTGTAAGACTTAATTCTGCTAACCGTGACTCTAAACCATCATCTAAACCATTTAATATATTCTTATTGGTGTTGTTGCTTAGAATATCTGGAGCATTTGGGTTTAATGTATTAACATACCCTCCAACATCCTAAAACATAATCCATCGTATCGTGATATTAATAGAGAAATTCACCCTTACAGATCTCAGATGTGTATTTGCCAATATACTAAATAACATTTTTCAATGATTTGTTGTCGAGAGAGAGAGAAATGGGTTTATGGTCCACTCAACACAAACTAGGACTAACATATGGTTCCATTTTATTTCATTTATTCACTTTCAAGTAGGGGTCTTTAGAAGTGGGAGGGAACCGGAAGATCTGGTGAAAAACCATGAGGTTGGGCAGGCGACCCTACTCCTTCTCACGTACAAGCAGGGAATCGAAACCATGCCACTTGACTCAATGACAGACCTTAAGATGCAACTTGTATGCATTAAAAATTCGGTAACCCAACCCCTCGGAATGTGATTGTAAGAATCCTAGTATATTTTGAATATTTACCTGGGATTTTTGTTGTACATCTGGTCTTGGATAACCTCCAAGTTGACCATCAGTTGACACTATAGTAAAAAAATAAAAAGAAGCTTGTTGGTATTTGACAAATCTGACCTCCAGGAAAATACTGTAGATCCATAATATAGATCCAGAAATACATAACATAGTTGACTTGCCAAATATTTTTTCAATTAAATCACATTCTATTTGATTCTAGATTTCGAAATTTCAACATTTTGTATTATAATGTTTGTTACCAGGAAAATGTATATTAAAAAGGATTTTAATTTATACATGGTTTATCACTAACCTGTGGGTCTAGGTTTATATTTAAGAAAGCCTTCATGGGTGCCATTTAAATAATATTGTACACTTTGTTTAAACTTTAAAATTAGCTCGTTCTTATTGCCCTTGGCATTTCTACAAAAAATAAATAACAGTTACATAATCAGATACAAGACAAATATAAAAGAACAATTACAATGTAGCATATATGATTCTTTTCAAATAGGTCATCTTGATAATAACATCTAATCATTTTTATTATCTATGGTTACTTGTGCAATACTAAGGGGGAGATTTAAGCAAGGACAGAGGCTTTTGTGCCTACAAAAAGATAGGTTGCCAGGCAACAAAACAGCAGCTAAGTCGCCCGAGCGATCGACAAGAGTTGTCACATATTTATTCTTTGTAGGTAATTGGGGGCATTTACAAGACAATTTCATACAGATCAGACTATAATTTTTGTCGTTTGAGGGTTCAAGGGACTTCACTCTGGAAGTAATTTGAAATTCAACAGACTTTTCCTTTTTACTTAGAACATTTGGAAGGAATGGGGATAATATATTTGTGTTATTTCACATTCTCATTTTGTTCTCTCTAAGTCTGTTCTAATTATCTTGGTAGAGCCAGAAACTGAATCATCACAACCAGTGATATTAACTAGAAACTGTACAGTACTGCATATTATCTTTAACTTTAAATCACTAACACATTGGACATTGAGGTTTTGCTAATTCTTTATCAAAGAAACAAACTCTGTGTTGCAGTGAAAAGGTATTTGACAGCCAGGTGTCAATTACTGCTTCACTATAATTTCTATTACGTCAACATCTGTGCCATGCCTTAACAACTAAATAACCAAATAATGAAAATATGATAGAGGTAACCATTATTGTTAGAAATAAGTAATAGCAAGAAATGAATGCTGGTAGTTGCAAGTGACAGCTGGGTTTAATGATTTAGATTAGAATGTTAATGGTAGACTGTAATTGCATGTCAACGAATTACTAATCAATAATCAGTTAACATCCGAGAAGACTACAAGACTGAAATAATTATCAGAAACTGTGTCAGAAAATCAAATCCCCATTCCCCGTAGTCTTTATAGAATCCATAGTGTCATGCTACAAAGCAATGGTAACTCAAAGTTTTAATTCAAAATCCCCATTCCCCATTTGTCTTTATACCATCCACAGTGTCATGCTACAAAGCAATGGTAACTCAGTTTTAATTCAAAAATGCTTCACGTGGCTCAATAACCCAAGATTCCTGTGATAGACCCTGGTGTAGACCAAGAAAGTTCCAAAGGACTGCAAAAGTAGGCCACAGTGCTGCTGTAAAGGCTTAAAATTTCCCTCATTGCACACTGTATAGTGTATGATCATCCTCATTAGCTCTTGTCGATGGAGTGAAGAAAGTCCATTTTATTTCAAAAGTGCACCATAAGGCTGTGTTAAATTAATTCTGCGTTTCGGGTCAACCGCGCGCGTAGCTTTCACATGTCAAATCGATGTTTGTGTTGATTTTCTACGCGGTAGTTTGTGTTGTGTTTTGATTTCGGCAGCTCCGCGCGCGTACCTATCCACACAGTACATTCTTCACTATCGAACACACGCCTGTCTATTTTAGGCGACATACGCACATTTTTAATTTACACGCATAAATATTGGTTTAAAAAAATAAAATATTGTAATTTGTATACAGAAAGATTTGAAAACAAATCACGGTCATAAATTTATAACGTTATTACATTACTCCATGTGACAGCACGCAAACTTTCACTGCCACGTTGTCCTTGGTTACATGTGTACATAGACTTGTTTGTCCTGACACGCGCTGACTTCTAATAACAGATTAACCATAGAACTAAATACACTGGACAATTTTTATTTTATTTACTATTATTTCCAGTACAGCGTGACTTATTTCAACTTGCCCACAACTTCCATTATGGCGGATTCGGTGGCAGTAGACACTGGTGAAAGCACACTCCTAAATCTACAAATATCGATACTGCAAGGGAAAATAAAGGCACTGCAGTGGACCGTTGTAGAAACTCCATATGAGTACACTTTTAGTGATCCTAGTTAAAAAGGCTTTGTGACTTGTGTAATGACTCTGACGCACTATTTCCTTGTCATTATCTATCAAATGCACTGCCACAAAAAAATGAAATTGACCACGTCGTGTATACTGTTTTGCCATTTCGAAGTATAGATTTAGCTTCCGTGTTGTTTTTTAAAACTCGTGTTTAAATTGGCAGATATTATTAAACAGTGATAGGGGTCTAAGTAAGTATATGTTGGCAAATTACCCTACCACAACCACTCACACACCGAAAAAACAGAATGAAATATTCTGAGTTTGTGTTGTGTTGAAAAAATGTGTGTTGTGTTAAACATTGGGAGGTGTGTTGTGTTGACCTCCCTTCCTCATTGAATCCTGGAGACCCTAAAACCTGAAACACAGAATTAATTTAACATGGCCTAAGCTTCCATAGGGTGCTCATAAAAATTGAAAATAGAAGAAAACAATTGAACAGTATGTTCCACCAAGTGTTAGACACAAACGTCAGCCCGTAGGCCTGAGGCCGTTTGATTTATCGATGGGACTCCTGCTGGCCTATTTCACTTGGCTCCACTGGGCCTTCACCTTGGTATCTCACATAGTTAGTGTCAACATACGATAATTCTAGAACTGGTAGAACTGTCATAGAAAAGCAACGTTTATTGTTTACTTGTCTTCGACGTGACGGACGCTGTTATTTTGCCAAACATTGACGCGCATAACCAGCTTTTGATTTGTTGCTGGACATTGTGCCAACAATTCTGGGTTGGCCTTGCGAATTTATGCTGACACCATCGCGTCATTTGTCAATGTTATCGCCACACGGCAAGATTATTTTGTAACTGTTCGAAGTTTACATAGTTTAATAATAAAACCCTAAATTATGTAGCTATGATGAATTCATTCCATTAAATTGAAATGTCACACAAATTTGATTGTGTCTTTTTTTCCACAAACTACTAAACCTGTAGTCTGTGATGTACTGGCATGTCAATCGATAATGACAGTTTAATACTTACGCATGCGCAGCCGCTTTATATGTACTTCCTATCCTTTGATCGATCTGCGCTTCGCTTGGAAACTATAATTATTACAGAAATCGGCTCTCTAGTGATTGCTTGAGTGATCTAATGCGTATACAATATTAGATTCCAGATTTGAGTAAAACTGATCCTCACCCGGAAATACATGTCTGGTATACTTAAACCAAATCAAAGAAGACGACCTGAATTTGTGCAAGCAAAAAACAAACCCACCACTAGTAGTACTAGTAGTGATGAGTCAGTCTGATGTTGTCCTGGGATCTTCTGACTGAGTGAGGCCTTAATGTTGTCCTGGGATCTTCTGACTGAGTGAGGCCTAAAATTAAATGGGTGCGGGTCAGTTCATCCCAAGACCGTTTCACCTCAGGCTGTTTCGTCTCAACCTACTTTTCTTATCGGGCTGTTTCATTTCCCTTGTTATTATAATAGCAGTCAATTAACCGAGTTGTACTTATTGTTAAATAAACTGTTAAACACTTACTTATTGTTAAATAAACAATAATGTATGGAATAAATAAGTTTTATTTGTTGATTTTTGTTGATTACTGATCACAACCAAGATTAGTTCACCACTGTATATTTGTATTGTTTGTTAATTGGCGTTATGAATTTAGATTTTAGGTCAGTTCACCGATGTTTTTGTAGTAAAGTATATTCATTTGTATTGTTATGATTTTAGATTAATTCACCGATGTTTTTGTAATAAAGTATATTCGTATTGTTTGTTAGTTTATGATCTCTAACATCATTTATCTTCTTTATAAAAAGGTATTTTACAATTACATATTGACAGCTTAATCACTCGCCAAAATACATCATGGACTCTACGCATTACCCAATAATCAACTAAATTGCACCGGAGCCCCTTTTAAATAAGACAAATTAGACTATTATTTCGGCACCATAATTAATCTTAAAAATAATCGTTAATTTAATTTCCGTACACAAAATGAAACTAAACAACTCCAAATATAAGAATTCTGAATTAGAATCACATTAAAAGTTCATGTAATACCGTTTTTTTAAATTTGTGGGGTGAAGCAACCCGATATAAGTGGGATGAAACGACCCATATAAATGTGGGATGAAACAGCCAGAGATGAACCGGTAGTGGGATTGGGATGAAATTTTTCTTTTTTTGAATGTAATAGAAACATCCCCTGCAGATACTATCTTTAATGTGTCACACGGGTCCTGTGGGTCAGTGCTTGGAAAATGTTTCGGGCACTGGTTCTACCCATTACGAATACTCACTTAAAAACTAGGTCACCAATAATATCAAGATCATCTGTGGCTGGTAATTGGCGAACAAAAGTAACAACAGCCAAAATAACATTTTCAGGGGATATCTGAAATAATAAAAGTAGAAACTTTTAATAAACTTCTCTGATCGTAATGCCTTACAAACTAAAATATTGTGAAAGTTGAATCTCAAGATTTGATGTCCAAAAAGGTTCCATTCCATTCAGTATTCACCAAGATATAATGAATTGAAAATATATCAACATTCAACATCCTCTGCACACATTCTATAAATGGGATTGACTCGATGTAGTGTCTATTTTTAGTACATTGGCTCTAGTCTCAATCTTGCAAGTGAAGACCCAAAGATCAAGTCTCGAGACTTAACTTTCAGTTACGTCCCTTGGGGCTGCTGTGTTTTACTTTCGCTTAGCTATAATTTTTCCAATTTATTTTCAAATTATAATAATGAATAATGATTACTAATATTTATTTACCCAATCGAAAATAAGGATAGGTACATTTTTTCTACCTTTATCCGCGAAGCACATTATTAACTAAACGGCAGATACAACTTCTACTTCTAGAAAATTACCAAATGTGATGAGTGTACGAGTGACACTGGTATGACAATCTCATTTTTGTTGCCTGTATCCTCGCAAATGTGAACTTTCGGACAGTTCAGGGAATAAAATAATAGCCTTGTGCATGAAATAAGTACATATTAAATATCTTTTTTAATTAACAAACACATGAATAGAAATATAATTGTTGGCTACAAGTTTCTGAACTGGCCAATAAAATTTTGATTTGGCTAAAAATATGGCTAATGTTTTTAAGAGTTTAGGGCGGTCACTGCATAACAGTGTCCATCATGGTTTGTATGATGAGATTGAGACTATGGCCCTTATGACAAAATTTTTGACCATTACGGTTTACGGTCGTTATGACCACATCCCTTTTCAACACTTTTCTTGTCGTACTGAATATTTTCTACAGTCTTTTTTCCAACTAACCTTCAGTGGTTTTCCATCACTACCACGGCAATTATTCAACTGTTCACGGAAAAAATCATACATATCCTCTTCCGGTAAAACATGGTTTCCTGAAAAAATGTATTCATTCAAATAATATTAATCAAAAGTCAAGGCTGTCTATTTAAGTACTTTACTCTTAATTCAATTCATAATTTTATTCCATAATCTAATCTATTAATATGGTCTGTCATGCATATCTGGATTGAATGTGAATGGGTCCATAATAAAATACTGACCTAATTACACATACTTATTACTAAAAATATAATGCATTTGTGAGGCAACTTTGTTAACTTAATGATGATTCAAGTTGTATTCCATATTTGGGTCTATGTGATATAGTCAAAAGTCTGGGTCCTATCAGGGATCAATTTAATCGGCATACAGTTCCAGTTTTTAATAAAAGTGAAAGTTAAAAATCTAAACAATGACTGATAGGCCTACAAAAAATCCTTTTGCATGATGTCAATGCTAGGAATAAGGGGGCTAAATCGCTATTCTTTGGCACCTAGAAATCGACACAAATGTGTAGCAACACATAATGTATTATGAATTTATATTAAATGATTTATGTTCAATCTTTTCTGTTTTTTTGTAATTTCTAATCAGTTATATTCGTAACACTAAGAGTCCAAAATGAAGGGCAGTCTTTGACGTCTGGTTATTCCAGTCTACACCGGTAGGTGGTAGTACTCTTCTGTGAAGGTATGCTTAGCCTCGTTCATCAAGTCGTTTCATAACAAATAGTGCTTGAAAGCATTCTTACACGTGATTCGTGTGCCAATTTTTAAATTTTCATTTTGTCTTCAAGTTCAATATTGGATATCAGAAGCCCATCTTTTCACGATAAGATAATAATATCAATGTTGATTTAAATTGACCAATAAGTGATGTTTGCAATGTCAAAAACTGGGGATGATATTGAGTTCGTGACTTGCTGCCTTTAAAAGGTAAGTGGAAGCATACCTTAAGGTACATGTACTTGTACATTGTATACCGTACCAGTACTTGGTATTTAATGTTAAGGTACAATAATGTTGTTATTGAATATGGCCAATGTGGTGTGTTATAGATTAAAGAACATAGAGTTAACCATTTCTGGTCACACATACCTAACAATGCTGCAAATACACAAAATCTATTTGGATTTAAATCTAAACATTTAGCAATTTCATCCATTATATATTCTTTTGTTTCCAGGGATCCTTTATAGGTGAGTTTCAAATTATTTGAAGAGAAGTAACGGGGTGGATCAAATATGGCATAAACTGGTTCTTGCGCAATGATTCCTTGTAAATTATGTTCTCGGCAGAAACCTATGACTTCCTGGAAGTGATCATCCATGGAACAGGCAACTGTCACATTGAGATGTCGTAAAGCCATTCTCAAGCTGCCTTTCAGGAAAACGGGTGGCATCCACCAAACTTTAGGAGGCGGTGTTCCTTTATTATGTAAATGTCTCAAAATTGAATGTACTTTCTTTTTCTGGTTTATTTGATCTGCAAACCAATCAGATAATCGTTCTGTTTCGAGTCCCCCATTGAAGAAGACAATTAGTTCCATGTTGGCATTGTGACAAGCTTGCACGAGGTTCGTAAGGAAGGCTGTCATCCGATTCCACTGTCCACCACAGACCCAATCTGAGTAATACCCCCCATAGAGACGATCTAAACAACTTTCAGCATCCACTACAAGACAAAATCGTGATGAGCCGCCATGTCTGCCACGCCTTTTCGGCACAAACCCCCGTGCAATTTTTAGCAAATCGACCGACACACATGCCGAAGAACACTGGCTTTCGAGGTAATCCTGCAATGATTTGATTCCCATCTTGGCTGCACCTTTTCTTTGTCGATTTCACATGATCTAAAGTTTTAAGTAAATAGGATTTCAAGGGACATCTTTTCACGGTAAATGAGAAATAATCAGAAAATTAATTCATTGCCATGTGCATCTGTGCACTTGGTAGACTCGGTCAGAGTAAAAGACACGACTCAACATGGAATCCCAACAGACAGGAAAGTCTAGTTGATCAAGGTGAATGACAGGTGCCCGGATAACCTATCCCAACATCCTCTGCAACCAAGAGCTGACGACATTTCATTGCATTCGGAACCACTATATTTTATTATTAGCATGTCTATGTTGTACCCCCGTCACTTCTGGACAGTTTGATCCTGCGTCTTTTAATAAAGTTGGAACTAACATAGTATAACACGCTTTTTATGAAGCTCATTGTGCAATACTTTCTCTTTTCATTTACGGATTTTTATACGTCCACATTCATAATACGTATTATGCCGTCGCCCCTGTCTATCTGTGTGTGCTTATGTATGTATGTGTGTCTGTGGGTCGCCTACAGGGCGCAATTCTCAATGGATTGTCTTGAAACTTTGCACACTTTGGTGCATGCCCGATTCTCAGGGGCAGAGCTACGCCCATACGTCCACATTCATAATACGTATTATGCCGTCGCCCCTGTCTGTCTGTGTGTGCGTATGTATGTATGTGTGTCTGTGGCAGGGCGCAATTCTCAATGGATTGTCTTGAAACTTTGCACACTTTGGTGCATGCCCGATCCCCAGGGGCAGAGCTACGCCCATTTCTTGTATTTGTTTATCGTCTACAGGCCGCATTTCTTAACGTATCATCTTGAAACGTTGCATACTTAAATTATTCTTTATACCCTATTAAGGAACACCCCTATTGTTTGTGGTGCATGCCCAACCCCCAGGGGCAGAGCCACGCCCATTTAAAAATTTTATACTTATTACTTATACCCTAAGGATGATCCCTATTGTGTTTGATGCATGTCCGACCACCAGGGACAGAGTCACGCCCATTTCTTGTATTTGTCATCTCCAGGCCGCATTTCTTAATGTATCATCTTGAAACGTTGCATACTTATTCTTTATACCTTATTCCTTATACCCTAAGAATGATCCGTATTGTTTTTGGTGCATGCCCGACCCGCATGGGCAGGGCCACGCCCATTTCTTGTATTTGTTTATCGTCTACAGGCCGCATTTCTTAACGTATCGGATCGTCTTGAAACTTTGCATACCTTTTCTTTATACCCTAAGGAACACCCCTATTGTTTGTGGTGCTTGCCCAACCACCAGGAGCAGAACCACGCCAATTTTCTTTTTGTGTGTCACCTATAACAGGACACAATTCTTAAAGGCTCAATACCACTCTTGTTGTAACTGAATAATATGTCCCAATCTTAATTTACACCTAATTTAAAAAATTGGAAAAATTCAACTAAATGATTTGAAAAGCCTAACGTTAACCTTTTCAAATGTGACTTGGATTTAAAAATATTTTCGAACCCTCTGGACAAGTAAAATAGGATGTAATGGAAAATTTACACAACAGGTAGGACACTTAAACATCTAATACTTAGAATAAGGCTATTATTTATTTTCTGGAGCTGTCAAGCCAGCAAGAGTGTTATTGTCCCTTTAATCAATAGTCTTGAAAAATGTTCATACTTATTGCTTATACCCCAAGGATGATCCCTGTTGTTTTTGGTGCATGCCCGACCCCCAGGGGCAGAGGCACATCCATTTTTTTGTATTTGTCATCTACCGCGGCCGTGTTTCCTATCATCTTGTTATTTTGCATTGTTATTCCTTTATATACCCTAAGGAACATTCCTATTAGCCTATTTGTAGTGCATGCCCAACCCCCAGAGTCAGAGTCACGCCCATTTTATTGTTGTGTGTCTGTGTGTTGCCCACAGGCCACGATTCCTAATGGATCGACTTGGAACTTGGCATATGTATTCCTTATAGCCTAAGGACAACTCTACATGACTCGACCCCCGCAGGGACAGAGCCACGCCCAATTTTTGTGTTTATCGTATACAGGCTGGAATTCTAAATGGATCATCTTGGAACTTGGCATATTTATTCCTTATACTGTAAAGATAACAACTATTTATTTTGGTGCATGTCCAGACCCCCAGGGGTGTGGTACCCCACCCTTTTTTATCTGTAAATACTCTATAGGTTGCAATAATTAACAATTTTTTTTCAAATTCAGCATATCAATCATTTCAATAACAGGGTGGTACCTATTTATATTGTTCCATATCCAAACCCCAGGGGCAGAGCCATGCCCAGTGTTTGTATTTATCGTCTATAGGCTGCAATTCTGAATGGAATATCTACGAACTTTGCATATTAATTTTATTCCTTATACCGTGAAGACAGCAACTATTTATCTTGGTGCATAACCACTTTTCTGTTAATATTTTGTCTGTAAATTTGGCAATACAAACCCAACGCCTAGCCTTTTTTGCCTCTTGTCATGTCATTGCAGCCATTTCATATTTCAATCTCTTCATTTTAAAAAGTACCATATCAATCAAAGCTGGAATGCAGAGGTATATTGCAGCGTTAGCGATGCTCCTGTTTCAGATATGTTTCCATTTTAATTGTTATAACAAAGTTTGATGGTTATTTCTAAACTCACACCTGTGTTTCCTTACAAGAAATGAAATGACATGCATGGACAGGGCTCACGCTGGCTTTCAATTTTTTCCGCCAAAATGGATGATAATTTTTATATAAAAAAAATGTTCTTTTTTTTTCGCCAACTGGAATATTTTTTCTGCCAAAAATGTGTGAGGAAAAAGACAACATCTAACAATTTTATATCGCAGCTAGACTTATTAAAACAATTACCGATATATACAATACAATATACAACAATTTTAAAAATCTGTCTTTACATAATAATTAGCAAAGTTTGGATTTAAATTTAATAAGATCAGATTTTATTTTTGGTGACTTTAGTCTATTTGAACACGCGTACTGCACAATATATTTTCAGTATTTACCCGTCAAATGTCATCCAGGGATTGCCAATTAATTTTTTTTATCACCCAATAATACATTCTACAGTAGATATCGCTTGTGTGATATATTTCATAATCTACTGCGATATCTCCTTAGGAGATATCGCTTTACACGAATTTGATTGGTCAGTTGAAAAGGAACTACTTTTTTTATTTTCAAAGAACAGTTCATTTCTTATTAAAAGTAACTTTTTTAATTAAAAATTAACTATTGTTATTCAATTGACCTTGATGGAAACACTGGGTCAATATAAAGGACTTTGCAATGGTTGAATTGCTGTTAAAAATGATGTATCACTACGCCGTAATCTTCAGTAAAAGTGAAATCTACAGCAAAGAATTATATTTATCTATTTCGTCCCCTGAGAGGTAAAAGGTCGCAAGTGACAAAACAGGCAAATTTGATATTTTTGCACCAAAACTTTATAAATTGACCCCTCCAGGTTATAACAAACAATGGTGACAATTGCAATGATACAAACTACAATATGGGTAATTAATATTAGGTAGTAAGTGGAAAACTTTACCAAGATGTCACCGGAGAAAGGTAGTAAGTACACTGATGGCAGTGTAACAAGGTCGTAAGTGACATTTAAATATGTGCAGTAGCAACTTCTTTCTGGCAAACTTCTTTCTGGCTTTCCCACAAAAGCCTGTGTACATTTCATTTTGCGATAGTAGTGTTTAAAATTGATCAACCCGCAGTAGACTTTAATCCTTGAGTGACATTTAGGGATTGGGCACATTAAAAAACACAATACAATTTATATGGAAAAAATAATCACTGGTCTGTACACACATAGCACGACGTTTCGACAAGTATCCTCTTATCGTTGTCGTTTTGTGCTTGATAACAATAAGGGGATACTTGTCGAAACGTCGTGCTATATGTGTACAAAACAGTGATTGTTTTTTCGATATAAATTGTGTTGTGTTTTTTTTTCACAGTAGACTACACAAAGAACGGGGCTGTAGGGGGGCCTTTTTGCGATACTGCATGTAAGAGACGCTTTTAATACCCCACGTTCGCCGTTTCAATGGACTGTAGTACGGTATGCGTACACACTAGAGCGAATGGGAACTAGAGAGGGATAGAGAGAGGGTTGTGATGCAATGAGACGCCCCTTGAGAGAGAGAGAGAGAGAGAGAGAGAGAGAAGGAGCGATGGGTGGGGGGGGGGGGGGTCTGAGAGCGAGAAAGAGAGTAAGAGAGATCCACATTGTTCTGCCCTTGTTTTGTTGTACAGTTATCCGTCATAGTCCATGTATCGTTCTTTGACGACAACTGCGCGGTACCTATAAATCCCGAATGTGAATTCAGGCCCGGCGGAGTAGGGGGGCTGCCCCCCCCCTTCCCCCCAATATTTTGGCCGCAAGTACCCTTTTCTTCAGGTTGTTGTACGCACGTAACTATTCTATTAAAAACAAAAAGGCTTGAATTTAACGTAGAAGTTAGACTTCTAGAACGTAGACTTTTGGAAGAAGAAAACCCTGCTATGCTCTATACTGTTCCTAGGGTTAGGAGACCCGCGGTTGCGAGGGTTGCGATTAGATAACTGAACGGTCGATCTTTATTTCAAGTCCATGTCTGTTGTATCTTTGACATATTATGTAATTAGAAAAACGACGGGATAGAGTTTCATTTATACTCTTTCCTTGTGCCCCTTATCCATCAAATAATTCACTGCTATGGCCAGTTGAAAGAAGCGGTTGTCATGGACGGGGAAGAGGTAAAATCAAAAGGGCTATCCTATCATTTAAGATCATTTGATCCTTAAGATATTTAATGTTCATCAGAATGGGACAACAATGGTAGCCCCCCCCCCCTCCACACACACACACACAGGGACTATAGCTCTAGAATGTAAGGTCCGATGCTACCAAAGTCGAACTGATCCAAGAACTTTTGATCCTTAACACATAGTTTAAGTTCATAGTGAAAGGTACACAAACTTCATTCATATTTAACATTTTGTGTAAAAGGCAGGGGCAGATGCGCAAACAAATGGAACCCTTCCATGAACTAGTGCTACTCTGTTTAAGTTTCCTCTAAATTGGATAAAATTGTTACCTCTAGATGGTCCACAACCTGAGTATTACATGATTTTATTATAATACTATTTTCGAAAAGGGGAGTGACTATTTGACGGGGAAGTTTCGGTCCGATTTTGCGGAAATA